GGGATGGGAGTGTCGGAGACAGTGCGATTGGCACAGGACAGAGCAGAGTTTAGGGCTGTTGTACATAGAGTCACAAGCAACTCGAAGGCACATAACAACCACATAGGAAACCTATACCTAGACCAAGAAGCTTTTCAAACAGAACAAGGGAACATCGCATGGTTTAACATCAGGAAAGGCATGCAACAGGGCTGAATCTTTTTTCCATACTGTTTTAAAATGTATGCTGAGCAAAACTTTCTAGAAGCTGCACTTTATGAAGAAGGATGTGGTATTAGGGTCAGAGAAAGGCCCATCTACAGCCTTCATTATGCAGATGACACAGTCTTGTTTGCTGAAAGTGAGGAAGACTTGAAGCACTTGTTGGAGATGACCAAAGACTACAGCCTGCAATATGGATTACATTTCAACATCAAGAAAGATCCTCACCATTGGACCAATAAACAACATTATGATAGATGGAGGAAAGATTGACTTTGTTCATGATTTCATCTTGTTTGGATCCACAGTCAACATCCTTGGTACCAGCAGTCAAAAGACAAATCAAAAGAAACCAAAAGACATAGTGTACTGGGAAAGCCTGCTGTCAGGCACCTCTGCAAAGTATTGGAGAGTAATAGTGTCAGTTTAAAGTAAGGTGCACCCAATTAAAGCCATGGTCTTTCTAATCACCTGCGATGCAGCTGAGAACTGGACAATGAATAAGGATTGATGTCTTTGGGATGTGGAGTTGGAGAAGAGTGCTGAGTGTCCCATTGACTACCAAAATGACAGATAGATAGGTCTTGGAGACAGTGCTGTCAAAGTACCCCGTAGTGGCAAAGATGGTGAAGCTTCATCTCTCACACTTTGGGTATGTTGTTAGGAGAGGCTAATCCATGAAATAAAAGACATCATGCTTGAAAAGGTTGAGGGTCAGCAAAGGAGAAGACCCTCAAGTGAGAGTGATTGACAGAGCAGCTGCTGCTAAGGGATCAAGTGTATCGAGATGATAAGGATGGCGCAGGAGCGTACATGGTTTAGATCTGTTGTTCACAGGGTCTCTGTGGTTCATACTTGACAGCACTTAACAACAATGACAGTCCGTGGTAAGAGACATCATCACTGGAAAAGACCCTCAACAAGATGAATGGATCCAGTGTCTGTGGCAATAGACACAAATGTGTGGAGGATAATCAGGATGATGTAGGACAGGGCAGAGTTCAGATCTATTGTTCACAGGGTCACTATGAGTCATACTCGCCTCAACAGCACTTAACCACAACAACAGTGACTAACGAAGGGAGCTGTGGTGGCACCATCTGTAGGGAGTTGTGCTGCTAACCCAAAGGAGAGGTGGTTTGAATCCACTGGTGGCTCCACAGAAGAAGAGGGACAATCTCCTCCCATTTGATTTACAGCTTCCTGTAAAGCCACTGAAGGGTCAGCTATGAGTCAGTTCCAACACGCTGGCAATGTGTTTTGAGTGATTCATTATGCTGATTCTCTTTTCATGTGCTTACTGGTTGGTTATATATTTTCTTTGGAGAAATATCCATTCAAGTCCTTTGCCAATTTTTAAATCGCATTGTTTTTGCTGTGGTTTGGTTGTAGAAGTTCTTTACATAATCTAGATATTAATTTTTTTTTAAATTTTTGTGTGCGTGTACCGTCAAATCAGATCTGACTGGTACAGGAGGAGATTGCCCCTCCTTCCCCGGCAGAGCATCTGGTGGATTCGAACCGTGCACCTCTGGGATTGTAGTTGCAGCTTCTTGCTACTAGGCCACCAGAGCTCCCCTGATATTAATATTTTTTAAAATATTTTTGGCAAAAAAAATTTTTCGGTTGAGAATTACCCAGCTGGACTCAGTTTGTTGTTGTTGTTGTTGTCGACCCTGTTGTGTATCATTGAGTCAAAACCAACCCATAGCTGACCCTCTGGTGGGTTTTCAGAGGTAGTTTAACCCAACAGAATGAGATTGTCCATCCTTCTCCCATGGAGCAGCTGGTGGACTCAAAGCTCGTGCCTTTGGGATTGCAGCACAGCTTCTTGCTGTTAGGGCCACCATCTCAGGTCTACAGGACCGAGTTTGTTGTTGTTATGTGTCATCAAGTCACTTGCGACTCACAGTGACCCCCTCTACAACAGCTCTGAACTAGTTTAGATTGTCCCAATTTTGAATCAACATAGTCAAGCATATGCCTTCAAGAAGGCAAGTCCAACATACCTTCTTCTATCAGGTCTGATCACGGTGTTGGCGTTGGCCACCATCAATGTCACAGAATTTCCTCAGCTTGTTTGTTTGCTGACCTTGACATCCACAAACACACACAAGTGTGTTATCTTCTATCTTCATGGCTGACTCAGTGGTCAAGGGGAACTGGATGATGGCATCGTGCTCAAACTGGTTTCTCCTGGAGGTGTTCTCCTGGGGATGTTTGCGCAGCTGTCAAAAGTCTCAGTGTCTTAGGCTGCTGGAAAGTAGGTGAACTGACGTCTTCCTTTCTTGTGACTATGGATGCCCTCCGGGACTTCCTTCTTGAACTCTTAACACTTTTGCTTTGGGTTCAGTTTTGAGAGGGGCAGGATCTTGCAATCAAGATCCATTAGTAATAATGAGTGACTGGAACGCAAAAGTGGGCAATAGGGAAGAAGGATTGGTAGTGGGAGAAACATGAAATTGGTGATAGAAATGAGGCCGGAGACAGAATGATAGAATTCTGTACAATCAATGATTTCTACAAGAAACACAAATGGCAACTATACACATGGACTTCACCTCATAGCCTACAGAGGTATCAAATTGAGTACATATGTGGGGGAAATTGTTGGAAAAGATCAAAATCAGCTGTGAAAATTAGACCAGGTACTGATTGTGAAATAGATCATCAATTACATCAAACACAAGTACAAACTGAAGCTAAAAAGAGAAAATCCAGGCACGCTCTGGTGGCCTAGTGGCAGGAAACTGCACTGCAATCCCAGAGGTGCGCAGTTCAAATCCACCAGATGCTCTGCTGAAGAAGGAGGAACAATCGCCTCCTGTACCAGTCAGATCCAATTTGATGGTACACACATAAAAAAATAAAATAAAATAAAATAAAACAAAAAGAGAAAATCCACAAGAACTAAGGTTTGACCTTGACTGTCCCTCCAGAATTTAAAGATCATCTTAGGAACAGGTTAGAGGCCTTGAATAGTAATGAGTGAAAACCAGATGAGCTGTGGGAGGATATCAAGAATATCATCCATGAAGAATGCAAAAGATCTTTACAAAGATAGAGGAAGAAGAAAAGAACAAGATAAATGCCAGGAGAGATTGAATATTGTCCTAGAGTGCCACATGTATGATATTAGCTATGGGTTTTTCCTAAATTCCCTTTATCATATTGAAGAATTCCCTTTCTTTTCCTAGTTTGGTATTTTCCTCATGAAAGTGTTGGGTTTGCTAAATGTCTTTTCCACTTTTATTAGGATAATCATGTAGTTCTTATCCTTTGTTCTACTAATATGGTACATTATATTGATTGATTTTCTTATATTAGCCATCTCTTGAGCTGTGGTATTGGAGAAGAGTATTGAATATACCATGGACTGCTAAGAAAACGAACAGGTTCATCCTAGAGAGGGTTAAACCAGGCTGCTCCTTGGAGGCAAAAATTCCGAAGCTTCGTCTGACATACTTGGACATGTTGCAAGGAGGGACCAGTCTTTGGAGAGGGATGTCATGCTTGGGAGAGTGGAGGGACAGCACAGGAGAGGAAGGCCCTCTATGAGGAGGGCCTCATTCAGTGACTGGGGAAAAGGGGATAGGTGTGTCAGAGAGTAAGATTGGCACAGGATAGAGCAAGGTTTAAGGCTGTTGTACATAGGGTCGCTATGAGTTGCAGGCGACTCGACAGCACATAACAACAACAGCCATCTTTGGTATAATTCCCACTTGGTCATTGTGTATCATTGGTACTAGCAGCCAAGAAATTAAAAGACTAATTGCATTTGGAATGTCTGCTGTCAGAGACCTCTCCAAAGGACTGAATGGTGGAGGGTCAGGGAAAGAGAGGAAGACTCAAATACAAAGACTGACACAGTGACTAATGATGGGCTCGAGCTTATCAGAGATGGCAAGGATGGTGTGGCTTAGGGCAAAGTTCAGCTCTGGTCACAAGGTCACTTACAGGGCACCTAATTCACTACCCAAGGCCCGGGACCACCTCCCTCTTGGGTGTTCCTCCTTACCCTCTCTCTCTCCTCTGGGCTTTCAGAAGTCCTATCCCCTTCACGCCCCCCCACCCAGCCTCCAGCCCTGCCCAAGCCCCCCCTCTCCTCATCCAGGCAAACCAGCTCTCAGCAGCGAGCAGCCGGCTCCCCGGGCATGGCTGCCCTGGCCCAGGACGTGCGCACGGAGTTCTCCCGCCAGAAGCTGGACCACGTGTGGACCGACACTCACTACGTGGGGCTGCAGTTCCCGGACCCGTGAGTGCTGGGAGGTGGGGGAGCGGAGCAGGGATGCTCGATGTGGGGGGGCAGGGTGGGTGCATACCACCCCTGCTCCCCAGGGATCACCCCAACACCCTGCACTGGGTCGATGCGAGTGGACGGATCGGGGAGCAGTTGCCGCTGGAGGACCCGGATGTCTACTGTCCCTACAGCGGCACCGGCAACACCACGGTGAGCACTCCCCCGCCCCCAACCCCCAGCGCTCTCTCCACCCCACGTCCCTCTTTTGGGTTGTAAGAAAGGAGGTGCAGGGGGCTGCCTCAGCCACCCCCTCACCCCCAGGGAGAGCTGGTGTACGCCCACTACGGGCGGCCGGAGGACCTGCAGGACCTGCGAACCAGGGGTGTGGAGCCGGCGGGGCGCCTCCTGCTGGTGCGCGTGGGGTTGATCAGCTTTGCCCAGAAGGTGAGGGTCCCCGGATGTGGGATGCTGCACAGCGGGAGGGTTTAACCCAATGGGGAGCATCCAGAAGGATGATGGAGGGAGAAAGGGAGGCACTAAGCGGATTGATTTTAAGACAAAATCAGGAGGTTCTGGGAGGCAGGTGGGGTGTGGGGAACAAAACTTCGGGCAACTCTGTGTGTGTTTGTTTTTTGAGAACTGAGATCTGTCAAGGCGCTCCAGGAAGGTGGAGAGGCCCTCTAACGGGTTTTCACAGCCTCTTCAAAACAAAATCTTCCCACTTTTATTCTTTTTTCCTACCCTGGCAAATCTAATTCCTTTGGAGGAATTCTATAGCCACCTCTCTTCCCCAGGTGGCCAATGCCCAGAACATCGGGGCTCGAGGGGTCCTCATATACCCTGACCCAGCGGACTTCTCCCAGGATACACATAAGCTGGGCCTGCCCAGCCACCGGGCTGTGTATGGACATGTGAGTCTGGGGACCCTGGATGGCACCCTTTGCCTTGGGCAGGGTTAACCTGCCACCACCCTCCACACAGCTTCAACGTGGGCACCATTCTGCCTACAGGTGCATTTGGGAACTGGGGACCCCTACACACCTGGCTTCCCCTCCTTCAATCAAACTCAGTTTCCTCCAGTCCAGTCCTCTGGTCTCCCCCAAATCCCAGCTCAGCCCATCAGTGCCGACATTGCCTCTATCCTGCTGAGGTGAGGGGTGCCCAGGGCCCAGGAGAGGTAGGGTGGAGAGGGAGGCTTCAAACAGCCCATAGGGTGGCTCTGGGGGGATTAGGAAAAGGAGACTTTCCCACTGGTGGGCACAACCTTGTTTAGGGCCCACAGTTTGGAGAGGGGAACCCCCTAGTTGGATTTCAGCCACAGGCCGCACTTCTCAACATTTGATTGGATGCAACCCGTATGCCTGGCTGCACGATTTCCCCAACCAGGGTACAGAAGTGACAGAAAGAGTAGAGGGGGGCTTCGAACCCTTCAGTGGCCCAGGTCTCTCTGCTACTCTGGATCCTTTCCCATTCCTTTCCAGGAAACTTGAAGGTCCTGAGGCCCCTCAGGAATGGAAGGAGCACTTCTCAGGGCCCCTTTATCGTCTGGGACCAGGGCCAGGCCTGCACCTAAGCGTCAACAATCGCAGGGTCTCCACCCCCATTAGCAACATATTTGGCTGCATTGAGGGCCGCTCTGAACCAGGTGTGCCCCCTTGTCCTGCAGCCCCCACAGTGTGTTGGCAAGGATACATAATAGGGCCATGCAGGAGGCTGGGGAAGGACAGGAGGGGCACAGGGGAGAGGAGAGGAGGAGAGCACAGGCTAGTAGGGAGGAACACTGAAATTGGTAGTGGGGCAGATGGGAGCCCTCGCAGTCCACCTCGCAGTCCACCCTGTCCTCAGGTGGAATGAGATGGGCAGTCTACTTGTAGAGAAGTGGGCACTCCCAACACTAGAGGGGAACAAGCATTAGCTGGATGGTGTCCCAGCAAAGCCTGACAGGAGGTCAGACTGGATATCAATTATCCTTTCAAGCACCACCAGCTAACGGTGTGGAAATGAAGGTCCTTGTGCAGGAGAGTAGGTTGATGGGAACAGCTCTTCAAGGAGAGTGAGGGATCCATGCGTGGTGAGGGAGGGGCGTGGCTGGGGGCTGGGGGGTGCTGTGAGGAGTCTGAGATGCTGCTGGAGGCTGGGGTGGGGAGGGACATAAAATATGCCAGAACCAGGGGACCAATGGGACATAGCTGACCAGAGAGGGAATGACTTTAAGCATCTTACTGCTAGAATAAGCAGTCTAGGGAGGACCAAGAAGAGGGGAACCCCATGCAAGGCCAGGGTTGTAGAGAGATGTTAGGGGCAGAGTTATGGAGCCGGTGGAGGGCCAGGAGGATTGGAAACACAAGCGGAGGGAGAAACCTTTGAGTATTACCAATGTAAGAAGTGGGTCCCAACCCTCCCCTGCCCTAGATCACTATGTTGTCATCGGGGCCCAGAGGGATGCATGGGGCCCAGGAGCAGCCAAGTCGGCTGTGGGAACTGCCATACTGCTGGAACTGGTACGGACCGTTTCCTCCATGGTGAGCAATGGTAAGGTCAGGGCCTGGGCTGGGCAGAGGTGGGGCTGTGGCCAGAGCCAGGACTGAGGCAGAGACAGTTAGGAACCCAAGCTACAGGGTGGGCCTTGAACCTGGGCTCCCCAGTGTTCTTGCTGTGACCCTGGATAAGCCACTTCCTCTGTTCCCTCGTCTAAACATGAAAGTAATAGTATTCCATTGGTCTGAGTGAAAATTAAGCAGAACCCCAGTGGCACAAATTAAAGCATTTGGCTGCTAACCAAAAGATCAGCAGTTCAGGAGGAACCCCAGAAGATTAGGACAAAGGGAGGACTAAGGGGGCACAACTGCTTGGCCCCAGTTAAGCTCATCCTCTTTCTTCCCTGTGACCCCAGGGTTCAGGCCCCGAAGAAGTCTTCTCTTCATTAGCTGGGATGGAGGCGACTTTGGGAGCGTGGGCTCCATGGAGTGGCTGGAGGTGACGGAGGGGTCCTGGGCAGGGGAGTTGAGTGGGAGAGCAAGGCATGAGGGGGAGTCTTACTCTACTCCCCTCCCCACAGGGCTACCTCAGCGTGCTGCACCTCAAAGCTGTCGTTTATGTGAGCCTGGACAATGCAGTGCTGGGTGAGCTGGGGCAGTGCCACCACGCAGGGACCTTTGCCCACTCCTATCCGCGGGGGCTGTACCCTGAGCCTGGTTTGTTTCTCCCTCTCTTCAGGGGATGACAAATTCCATGCCAAGACCAGTCCTCTTCTGATCAACCTAATAGAGAATATTCTAAAGCAGGCAAGGGGGCGGGCAAGGGAGGCTGTGGGAGGAAGGTGTCTGGTGGGGGCCGAGGTTTACCTGTGGCCCTGCCCTGCTCCCAGGTGGACTCCCCTAACCACAGTGGACAGACGCTGTATGAGCAGGTGGTGTTCACCAACCCCAGCTGGGATGCTGAGGTGTAAGTGGGGGTGGGCGAGGCTGAAGGGGGGGATGTCTGAGGTGCGCCGAAGCCCACCCACTGGCCCCTCTAACCTGCTTGCCCTCAGGATCCGGCCGCTGCCCATGGACAGCAGTGCCTACTCCTTCACCGCCTTCGCGGGGGTCCCCGCGGTGGAGTTTTCCTTCACCGAGGTGAGCCTCCCCGACCCTGTTCGCGGACACTGGTCTCTCGGCCCCGTATCCACGTCCCCACCCCGTCCAGCCGCGGCCCTGTCCCCCGCAGGATGACCAGGCCTATCCGTTCCTGCACACGAAGGAGGACACGTATGAGAACCTGCACGCGGCGCTGCGAGGCCGCCTGCCCGCTGTGGCCCGGGCCGTGGCCCTGCTCGCGGGGCAGCTTCTCATCCGGCTCAGCCACGATCACCTGCTGCCCCTAGACTTCGGCTGCTACGGGGACGTCGTCCTCAGGCACATCGGCAGCCTCAGCGAGTTCTCTGGGGACCTCAAGGTCCAAGATGCCAACACTGCTCCCCGCCTCCGGGGGTGGGGGTGGGTGCTGCCTAGGCCACGGGGTCTGGCCCTCCTCCTTTTAATCCCCAGAGTCGTGGGCCCCTTTATCCAGCCTCCAAGCATCTAAACCCCCAGGACCTATCAAGTGACCTCTCAGGCCCCAGGATCTGTCCTCCCCGTCCCTACAGCACCTATTTCCTCACTCCATCTCCAGCACTCTGCCTCCCTGCCCTGCCACCCCCTGCCAGGCCCAGGATCCCAGCCCCATTCCCCAGCATCGGGATACCCTCACCCCCAGCCCGGGGTCCTGGCCTGCCTCCGCCAGCCCCTGGCTGCCTGCCCCAGCCCGCGCCTCCACCCTCAGGCCCGCGGGCTGACGCTCCAGTGGGTGTACTCCGCGCGGGGGGACTACATCCGAGCAGCAGAGAAGTTGCGGAAGGAGATCTACAGCTCGGAGGAGAGCGACGAAAGGCTGATGCGCATGTACAACGTGCGCATCATGCGGGTGAGGCCCCGCCCCCTGCGCCCCTGCCCCTGCCAGGCCCCGCCCCCAGCCGTGCCCCTGCCCTTAAGTGCTTGTCCATCTGTGCTTGGTGCCAGGGGGGATCCCCACTTCCAAAAGCCTATCCTTGCTCTGCCCTCTCCTCACTGTTTCTTAGATTCTGAGACTTCTTTCCAAGAGGTGCTAAGGACTTGCAGATCCCTGCCCTCAGGGCGGCCCCAGTCCTAGACCCAATGCTTTTGGACTAGAACTTTCACAACCATAGGGGCAGGACCCTCAAAGTAAGGGAGCTGAAGAAGGGACATATTCTTAGACACAGTCAGCCACTTAACGCGTGGCAAAACTGGGACCACACACATACATATAAAGATCACACACATATATACATATACATCATATACACCTCTCACTCTTGGATAAGGAAAACGTGTATTCAACAGCCCAGACAGTCAAAAAGGCACAACGTACAAAGAGCTAAAGGAGAATTTTTCTTCTCTCTGATTGAAAGATGGACGAAACCCAGACAGGCTGCCGGAGGTATCATCTGAAATTATTCCTTCACCGATCTCCTTTAATTTGGAGTACTTTACAGTCCCCTTCCTATCTCCATGTCCACCTTTTCTTTCACTTTCTCACCCTGTGAATCACCCTTTCAACTCTTTAACCTTGGAAAATGGGTTAGAGGGGCTGTGGACATGAGAAAATGTCTGTGGTGCAAAGTGATTGTAAGTAGAATCGGCCTCAGTGAGTATAGAGGTCACTTGAAGTACAGCGCACCCTATAAATACATGCAGGATGCAGGGTACCCAGGGTGTACATAGTAAATCACACACACACACACACACACACACACACACACACACACAGAGTTTTCAGAGCAAGTGTGTCTGATCCGGGCCGACTCATGTCCTCTTCTTTCTCTCTTGCCTTATCCTGTTTATGCTTCTGCCTGTTCTCCCTAATTGTGGCTCAGTGCCTCCTTTCTGTTTACAGATCTGTCTCTCTTGCTTCTTTCTCCTGTTCTCAATCGTCACCCTCAGACTCCTCTTCCTCTCCTCCTTTCTAATCTCTTTTTCCTTTGCTGCCTCCACTGAGCTCTGTGTGACCCCTGGGTGAGAGAAGGGATTGGGCATGCTTTATTCTCATTCACAGACTTTGCTTTAGCCTCTGCTGTGTAACCCCAGGAACACAAAATTACTCCCTCTCCCCCTCACCGTCTAGCAGTTGCTCCCATTCAAAGGACTAAAAGTCACCACCTGTGTGGACGGTGCTGGACCAGACCCAGGAACTATGGCTCTAGACCAGGGCTTGGCAGACTAGCAGCATACAGGCAAAATTCAACCCACCAACAGGTCTTTGTAAACTAAATCCTGTTGTAAAGCAAGCCCGTGTTCACTGGTTTACATATTGTCTATGAATGATTTAGTGCTGCAGAGGCCAAGTTGCAAAACGGCATGTCCTGTAAAGCTTCAAATATTTATTATCTGTTCCATCAAAAAAAAAAAAGTGAGCTTTGGTGGCCTAGTGGCAAGAAGGCATACTGCAATCCCAGAGGTGCACAGTTCAAATCCACCAGATAATCTGCTGGAGAAGGAGGAACAATCTCCTGTACCAGTCAGATCTGATTTGACGGTACACACAAAAAATAATAAAACTAAAAAAAAAAAATGTTAAAAGAAAAAAAGAGGAGCCTGGTGACCAAGTGGTGAAAGTTTTTGACTGCTAACTAAAAGGTAAACAGTTTGAACCCACCAGCTACACCCCAGGAGAAAGATGTGGCAGCCTGCTTCCACTTTATGGAAGGTTTATGTGTAGCCTTGTTTGCTAACCCTTAGCTTAGACTTAGAAGAACGGGTAGTCTCTTACCAAGCTGAGCAGTTTCTTCCTAACGAAGGAGGTGGCACTTTAAACCTTTCAGCTATTCTGTGGGAGAAGGATGCTTTTGTGAAGACTATAACCGTGGAACTCTAGGGGACGGTTCTGCCTTCCACTACAGGGTTGTTACAAGTTGAAATTTGACTTGACGGTACTGGACCTTGAGGAACAGACAGAACTTGGGTTGGCGTGGAGAAAGGAGAATATTCTGAAAGAAAAAGGCCTCAGATAAGGGTGTGGTGGTAAAATAGGCCTGGTGTTCCTGGGGAGCAGGGTGTGGACAGCAGAACTGGAGCTGAGCCCATGCATGAGAAGAGGGCAGGAGGCAAAAACTAAGTTAGGAATCACCTGCTGACATACCTAAATGCCAGGGGCAGAAGTGTGGATGTTTAGGGTTGGGACAGCAAGGTAATGAGGCTGAAAGCTGGGGAGATCATGGGACTCAGAGGACAAGTGGGATGAGACAGACTCAGGGGATTGCCACAAACGTGCTGAGAGGTTAGGGTCAGATTCAGCCGCCATTGGGTGGGCTGAGTGACAGATGCTAGTGAAAGACAGGACTTAAGTGGATGATTCAGTGAGTAGACTTGGGAACTGTTCCCTCCAGAAATCAGAGTTAAAGGCAGAAGGATGGATGAGGCCGGAGTAGCATTAAAATCCCAAAGTCTACAACGTGAATGTGTGACACCGCTCCCGGAGAGCCCAAGTCTGTTGGGGTGTTGCCCAAGCATTGAGCATCTATAAATATTTGCAGGTCATTCAAATATTCAGTCAGGTTTGAAAAAACCACAGGACTGTAGGTAATGAGAGGAGGAAAGGGTGGCAGTCCAACTCTGAGACGGGCCACAGGGGAGAGCAAAAGGAGCCAGAGAGGCTGCCAGAAACCTGGTAGGAGATCTGGCCCAGAAGGGAGGCCTCTGAGGAGAGACAGAATAGCATGGGAATCAGATGGTGGTGGAACTCTTGACCTTTGACTCTGGGTTCCAGAGAGGAAGAAATGAGGCAGGTGACTGGACTGCAGAGGAGTGGTTATCCAGAGGAGGAAGAGGAGGACAGTAGATGATTCCTTGAGGCTTTTGACAGGGAAGTGAATGACTGAAGAAGGAAGCCTGGGGAGCCCCATGTGTGAGCATGGAAGTTCTGGAGATAGAAAGGGATAGGCTGAAAACAGGAGGGTGCATTCTGCCCAGATACTGGTGACATCACAAAATAGTCATCTTGTGATTGGGTAACCAAAAGGAAGGGGGAGCTTAGGGAAACTCCTCAATAATGTAAGTGCATAAAACCAATAACTAGTTTTCTTAGAGCTGATTCCCGTTCATGGAGACCCCAAAGTAAAACTGTGCTTCTTAGGGGGGTTAGTGGCTGATTCTCCCCCCCCTTTAAAGTAGATCTCCAGTCCTTACTTCTGCTGTGCTTCTGTAGTCTTGAACCTCCAACCTCTACGGTTAGCATCCTTGACCATTAGCCACTTGCATTACCCAGGGACTCCACTAAGTGAAGACCTTATAGGACAGAGTTCTGTTTTGACACATATTTTGTGACTTGCCTGCACCTGATGCCAGGTGCCAGCCTTGGTTAGAAATCACTGGCAAGCAGTGGGTGATGTCCAGGCCTTTGCTGTGGCACAGAGAGCCCACCTGATCTGATCCTGTTCTTGGTGCAGGTGGAGTTCTACTTCCTGTCCCAGTACGTGTCACCGGCGGACTCCCCGTTCCGCCACATCTTCCTGGGCCGTGGAGACCACACGCTTGGTGCCCTGCTGGACCACCTACGACTGCTTCGAAAGGATGACGCTGGGGCGGCACCCAGCCTAGGCTTCCAGGAGAGCCGCTTCCGTCGCCAGCTGGCCCTGCTCACCTGGACACTGCAGGGGGCAGCCAATGCCCTGGGCGGGGATGTCTGGAACATTGACAACAACTTCTGAGGCCCTTTAGGGGTTCTACATAGCCCTACCCCTGTTTGGGAGCACGGTGTCTCCCTTTTTGAATGGTTTCAGGGTGACATACCACCTCTCGTTACTGAGATTTTCACTCCCCTTTCCTGCCCCAGCACAGCTCAGACCCCAGCACGTGGGCACGCACACAACTTTGGCTGCATTATTGAGACTGGGTGAGCAATGCCTTCTAGAAAGTGACTGTCATAACAGATCAGTGAGCAGCCTCCATGTGTTTCTTCAGGAGCAAGGTCCCCCACACTTTGAGATGCCTCTTGAAGGGTTTCCCAGGTTTTGAAGCCTCGTCTAACTCTCATAGAAGAGATTACTTGATTTTATAGTCACTGAGTGATCTGCCTTAGGAGCATGGGCTAGGACTTCAATAAACCACCTGGAGACATTCTGTCAAGCCTAAGCCTCTTTATGCTTCTTCCCCACCCTCACCCTCACCCAGTCACCCCTCTCCGAATCATCCCTCCCCGGATACCGAAGGAGGGGTTGGCCAGAAGGGTGTGAGTGGAAATGCTGTCTCCATAGGGGAAACCCTGCTATCTGAGGAAATAACGGAAGCTTAGTTAGTGCATAACGCATCAGACCGTTAACAGTAAGGTGAGTGGTTTGAATCCCACACCTGGTCTGCAGGAGAAAGATGGGCAGTCTCCACCTCGGAAACCTGACAGAAGGTCACTATGGGCGAGAATCAACTAGAAGGCAGTGGATAGTCTCCAAAGAGGTCATTGAGTGGTACAATGATTTGTCCTCAACTACTAACCTAAAAGTTGGCTGTTCAAATCTACCGAGTGATGCCACAGGGATAAAAGACCTACTGGGTCACTTCCTTGAATATTATAGTCAAGAAAACCCTATAGGGGTGCTTGTCTCTACCACATAGAGTTACCATGAGTCAGAACTGACTTGATGATAGCAAGTTTGGTTTGTTTTTATTCCTAAAAACTGGGCTCAGGGAGCTCTGGTGGCCTAATGGCAAGAAGCTGCACTGAAATCCCAAAGTCACATGGTTCATATCCACCAGATGCTCTGCTGGCGAAGGAGAGGCAATCTCCTCCTGTGCCAGCTGGATCCGATTTGATGGTACACAACAAGAAAAACAAAACAAAACAAAAAAACAACAAAGAAACCTACTGGGCTCAAATATACCAGGGATCATGAAGATGACACAAGACTTGGCAAAATTATGTTCTGTTGGACGTGGGGTCACCATGTGTCCCAGGCAACGACGCCATGGCAAGAAGGAATAACATTGTCCGGAGACCACCATGGACAGGAGCCTAGCTCTGTAATCTTCTCCTGGGGCCAGTGCCACCTACACAGCTTGTAAGGCCCAGTGTAACATGAAAAGGTAGGGCCCTTTGTTCAAAAGGCAGAACAAAGCCCTCTGCTTTCTCCCTTCTCAACTTGCCATGGTGTTTTTATTTGTATGTAATGTCTTGCTTCCTTGGACACAGAGATGCTTTCAAGGCGAGTGACAACCTTCACACAGCTTGGAAGATAGAGAGCATGTGTCCAGTCCCAACCCTGACTTTCCCCAAGCCTGTGTTTGGAGCTCAGCTGGGGAAAGAAGGTGGTAGTTATGACCCAGTGAAGGCAGAGTTGCTGGCAGGAACCCTCCACACATCCCGTTGGCCCATGGGATTTAACTTACAAGACACAACAAAAAATAAAATTATTAACCATTTCAATATGAAAGCTATAGGGCATTAAACCCTAAGTGCATGTCCCCCCTCTGAGCACAAAATCCCCTGAGAAAGAAATGGTGACAAAACCATTACCATTATATTATCCTGACTGGTGATGTCTGGATGCCCTCCTCGAACTCTCTCTGGTCAATCTTTGTCCAGTGAAGGTGGATACCACAAGGTATGAGTCACAGGAGGGTAGGGAATTACAAGAGGTGCTGTTACCACTCTACTTCAATCACAGTCTCCAGAGGTTGCTACCCTGACTTTCACTCCGGGGGCAGGAGTATAAATCTTCAGCTCTCAGGCAACTTGGTCATCTCTTACTCCCTCCCTATTGATGGTTTAAAGTTTTATCCAGCTCCTTATGAACAGGCACTTCACCGAAGACGACATTCAGATGGCTAACAAACACATGAAGAAATGCTCAAAATCCCTAGCCCTAAGAGAGATGCAAATTAAAACAACTATGAGATATCATTTCACCCCAGTCAAAATAGCAAAATTTAACAGAACAGCAAGCAACAAATGCTGGCGAGGTTGTGGAGAAACTGGAACCCTGATTCACTGTTGGTGGGAGTGTAAAATGGTGCAACCCCTGTGGAAAGCAGTATGGCGCTTTCTCAAAAAGTTGCAAATAGAGATACCATTTGACCCAGCAATTCCACTACTGGGAATATACCCTGAAGAGACCATAGCTGACATCCAAGCAGATATATGCACACCCATGTTTATTGCAGCTTTGTACACAATAGCAAGGAGTTGGAAACAACCTAAGTGCCCATCAACAAACGAATGGCTAGAGAAGCTGTGGTATATTCGCACAATGGAATACTATGCTGCATTAAAAAACAAGGAACTCATGCAATATTATTCAAAATGGTTGACTCTGGAGAACATTATGCTGAGTGAAATATCCCAGTCACAAAAGGACAAATATTACATGATGCCACTGTTGTAGAATGGGACTGTCCTTGGGGTTAGGGAGACACTGAGTAAGATGGGTTCAATAATGTATACTGCACTGAAGCAGAGGAGGGAGAGAACCGTCTAAAAGAGAGATGTAACTGGGTATTTCTGTCATCACAGGAGACTAGAGCGAGGGCTGCATGGTGGAGGGACCTGGGGGAGGGTTTGTAAAACAATGAAAGAATCTTTTATTTTACTTTTCCATAATTTTTGGACTCATGTACTTATAACTTGTTAGTCAAATTTGTGTCTTCTAGGTTGCAACACCCCCATGATACATCTTGAAGGATATGTACATGTACAGCCAAGCACAATCAATAAGAGTGCATCTGAATTCCAAAATCAATCTCCATAATAGTCTATGTGTTTCCTACTGCCAAAGGGGCCCTTTAGAGTAGTGAGAGAAGATCTTCACCCTGAAACCCACAGCGTCCCTTTTCAGCAGGAAGTAGCTAAGAGAATACGCCATCCCCTTTTCCTTATGACTCAGGGTGAAGTCTCTCTCAGGGAGGAGTGATAGGGAATGGCAAAGGATACACTGACAAAGAAGATTAATCAGAACTGGCTTTGACAAGCACTGTGGCATTTGGACAAGAACAAACTGGGAGGAGGGTAGAGAGAATAGTGCAACAATGAATGAGTGGAAGCCCAAAATCTCTGTAAATGTTTATGAAAATTAATAAAATATAATTATAGAAAAAAAAAGAAAACCTACTTAATTAATAATAAAAAGTTAAAAGGGGTTTTTAAAAAAAAAAAAAAAGTTTTATCCAGCTCCTCAGATCACTGGGAAACAAAGGCTTCTTAGCCTTAAGACCTGAGCTGCTCCAGCCTTTTGGTTCCAGAGTGAAATGCATTTCCTTAGCTTCCCAAACCTATACCAGGATCTAGAATCTCAATTATTTTGTTCCATGACCTAGAACCCAGAAGAAATTTCCTAATGTGATTTTTTTATCTCTCCTTTATCTTATCCACATGCTTTTTGTGAACAGGATAATGGCCCCCCCAAAAGAGGTCCAAATAGAGATTCCTACAGCCTGTGAGTTTCTAATTTTATACGACAAAAAGGACTCTGCAGATGTGATTGGGGATTTTGAGATAAAGAGATTATCCAGGATTTTCTGGAAGGAGGGCAATTTCATCTGAGGGGTCAAAATAGGGGATAAAGGAAATGAGATGATAGAAGCAGAGGTAAGAGATTAGACTTAAAAATGGATGTGAAGGTGCTGTATGCCTTGCTTTGAGGATGGAATAAAAACCAAATAACTTGGAGCTCCCTGACTACAGATCTTTCCAATGCAATATATCTCCGGATCTTCTGACCCATGGCACCAAGAGTGTTTGTGGGTCCAAGTAAGATGAAGTTGTTGACAGTTTTAATCTTTACCTATCATAATGTTGCCTAGCGATTCAATGGTGAGAATTTTTGTTTTCTTGATGAGATATAAATAATATTGAAAGTTATATCCTTCGATCTTTTGCAGTAAGCACTTTAACTCACTTTCAGCAAGTGCACAATGCAGATTATTTATGTGTCTTCTTCAAATCCTGATTCCACATTCTTCCTCATAGAGCCCAGCTTCCTGAACAACTTGCTCGGCGTACAGATTGAATAGGTATGGAGAGAGGATATCACCCTGATGCAATCTCCTCTAGAATAGAGCTATTAACATCAAGGACACAACCATATCTTTTCAACAGAAGAATCCTCTCAAAGGCCAGCTTATGTTTTAACTATCTATGAAGATTTTATGCATTGATAAGATCTTATGACCTTGTATCAAAGATTTTCTTCCTTTTTTGAAAGCAGGCAATAAATAGTTTCTAGCAGTGAATAGAAGAGAAAAACCTTATCTGCTAAGTTTGCTCTGATAAAAAAACTTTCCCATTTTCCTGCTTTCTTTTTTATATGATAGGCTAAATACAACTGTCTCCTTTTTTTTTTTTCTGGCAAAGTAATTTTCCCCTAAGATAGTTCAGGATCAAGGAAGCCAATCATCCTACATAAAACCCAGATGCATCTGTCAGATTGGAACAGACTCACATCTGACCGTCCAGTGAACTTTTCAGTAAATTGCACTGGAGGAGATAGCCCAGGTTTCTATTGTGGCGCCGCTGGTAGATTCACATCACGGGAGAGGCACTGCTGCCTGTGGGTTAGCCCCTCAGCTCCCTGTGGACAGTGCCACTGGGCCTTCCTACACCCCTCCTACAGCCTACATGCATAACCAGCTAATACAGGCACCTCCAGGTGTTACGGCCTAACGACCTTTAACTTTACTAACAATTTCTGGTTTTAATTATCCAAAAGAGCTTTCAGTTGCTGTGCATATGCAGAAGCAAAAAGAGTGATTATTATATGGACTTCTGGAGAAAGCAACTGTAAAGTGATTATTATATGGACTTCTGGAGAAAGCCACCGTGAAGAAGAAAGCGGCAGTGTTTGTCCCATGAGGACTGATGCTCTAACCAGGCAGGTTCCACCTTGAGGATGAGCTGCACACACCTCCTGATTTGCATAATGCTTCCTTTCCTAAAATAATCACGCTTTCCCTTCCTAAAAGTACAAAGAAAACATGACCCCTTCCCAACATCTTTAGCTTAATTGGCAAATATACTCTCAAAACGTCCCTTTTTTTGAGATGGCATTTTTTTCAAGACACTACATTCTATAAAAAGAAAAGTTGGCTCATCCATATGCCTGTGCTAAGTAATTCCTTGCTAGAATAATAGTATGGGTCCTTTGAAGCCACTTGGGACCAATCGGTAACAAGTGGATTCTGGGGGTAGTATGCACCTCATGATGCTGAAACATCAGGCAGGAGTTTAGAATAGTCTTTTTTGTAACTTAGGTATGTGGTTTAGGGATTGTTGTTGTATATTGTCAAGGTGGAACTGACCCATACCTGACCCCCCGTTGGGTTTTTAGAGGCAGTTAATTGATCGGGAGGAGACTGCCAATCCTTCTTTCATGGAGTAGTTGGTGGCCTTGAACCATGTGCCTTTGGGATTGCAGCACAACTTCTTGTCACTAGGCCACCAGAGTAGGATTCTATTTTAGGGCTGAGGGAGATCTTAATTAATTTGCCCTATTTCCTCATTTTGAGGTGGAAACAAGCTCAGAGAAATGAACTGACTTGCCAAAGGTCACTCAGCTTTCTCAATGTAGCAAAAACATGTGACCCCGGGGGTGCTCATCCCCTGGAAGTGGGAACAGGAGGAAGCAGAGGCTGTCTGGGTACCCAGAAAGAAGTTCAAAGAAAGAGGCATATTCCTAACATTTCTCACTTTAATTTTAAAAATTTATTTCATTCAATATGGAAAATGAGTACAAATCCCTGGGTTGGTTTTTTAGTTTTTGTTTTTGTTTTTTAGGGGCAAGAGATGAGGCAGGAAGAAGGGTATAGGAGTCGGGGCAAGTTATCTATGAGCATCACAGTGGCTGTCTCGAGTCCATGGTCAGGGAGGCTGGAGTGGAGGCCGAGCAGGGAGCTCAGGTCCGGAGGAACACCATGGTGAGGAGGCCTGGAGCACGGAGAGCAACAGAGCGAGGCCCAGTGAGTAGTCTGTGCTATTTGCCCTCCCTCTGGCTCTGGGTCCCTTTTCTCGGGACCTCGATTCCAAATTACTACACTTACCCAAGACATAGGCAGCCACCAACTTCTGTCCCAGGGAGACATGCAGGACTTGGGGCAGCTGACTGCCAAGTTCATCCTGGAGTGGGAGCAGCAGGAAGGCCACGGAGACTATGCCCGCCAGCAAGAAGAGGAAGAAGGAGCTGGTGGACAGTTGTGGGTGGGCATCTAGGAAACAAAGTTCATTAGCAGTGCAGCCCCCAGCCCCAGGGCTGACCCAAGTTCCTACAGGGAGCAGACTGGAAATGGAGGCTGTGTCTACTTTCTTTTTATTGTCTTTCCAAGACCACCTGAAATGTACTCTCCTCCCTGGAGCTTCTGTCCCCACAGCCACAGGAAACCCTCATCCTCTGTTCTCTCAGCACTTTTTTCCACTCTTTACTCTGCCTCAATTACAGTCTTCTGTGTACTTATTTGGTAGACAGGAACTTCTATCTCCCACATGCAGCACACATCTTTGCGTTTTTTTTTTCTATAATTATATTTTGTTAATTTTCATAAACATTTACAGAGATTTTGGGTTTCCATTCATTCATTGTTGCACTATAGCACAAATCTTTGTATAGCATAATTTTTCAGTTCTTCTTACTGAACTGAGCCTGTCGGTACATAATAGAATGACTAAAGGCAGAACTAAAGAAGAACTCAAAGGAAAAGCCTGAAACAGAAGGAACTGTCATTTTTCCTCTTCTAATATTCAGGGAGCTCTGGTGGTTTAATGGTAAGAAGCTGCACTGCAATCTCAAAGGCACACGGTTCTAATCCACCAGCTACTCAAGTGAAGAAGGAGGGACACTCGCCGGTGTGATTTACTGTGGCTGGAGCTTGAGGGTCACCCATGAATCAGTTCTGACTTGGCGGCACAAAAACCCACTGGACAGTACATGATAACTTTTTCCCTTTTTTTTTTTTTAAATCAACTAGGTAGAAATGTTTCCACTTTCGTCTTTTATTTATTTATTTTTTTTAATGTGTGTGTACCATCAAATCAGATCTGACTGGTACAGGAGGAGATTGTCACTCCTTCTTCAGCAGAGAATCTGGTGGATTTGAACCGTGAACCTCTGGGATTGTGGTGCAGCTTCTCACCACTAGGCCACCAGAGCTCGCCCACTTTCGTCTTTTTGACTGAACCAGAAGATAGCTTTAAAATCAGTCTCACCCTCCTTATAAAAGTCAAGAATCCCCATCCCCAACTCACTCTCCTGGAAGTGTCTGGCCGAGGGTGGTGTTAGGGCTGGAGGCTCTGGCTGGGGAGCTGAGTCTGGCTGTGCCTGAAGCTCTTGGGGGTAAGCAGGTGCCCTCAAAACCGAGGTGATGTCCTTGCGCCCTAACACTCGACCTTCGGCGCCTTCTTCAGACAGTTCAATGCGGAAGCGGTCCTGGATGTCATAGTGGCTGGGGATGGGGGCCACATGGCGAATCACACTGTCCCAAGGTAGGAAAAAACGAGTGAGAGGCAATGCCAGAAGGAGCCTTTCTCCTAAGGGTGTGGAGGGAGGGTGGTGGGGAAAACAAGCTGAAGAGGCCCAGTGCCCAAGACAACAGCATTGTAATATGGGCGGGGGTGGGTGGGCGGGCAAGTGGCAGTGCTGGTTTCCAGCAGCCCCACTTCCAACTCACATATCAATGCAAGACTGAGGCTTCACGTATCCTTCTGAGTCAAACACCGTGTATTTGGCAGGTGCAGTGCACAGGACTATGGGATGGACACACAAAGAAATCTACTATTGCCTCAGAGTCCTGCCCGCAGAGGAGCACGAGAGTCCACTTGGCCTGCCACCCCAGGGCTGGACACAACTCCCGCCCCCCCCAACCCCAGCTCTTCACCTCGGAAGCGAAGCGCAGCTCCCGTGGGGTTATAAAGGGTCAGCAGCTGTCGGAGTCCACTCCGCTGGTCGGCCCTGAATACTAGATCCGGAGGGAAGACGAGGACCGGGACAAGGGGTCCAGCGGGAGGAGTGGCGCCCCGGGAACCCCGCCCAAGGGTCCCCGAACCCACCAGCTCCTGGTCCTGGGGCGCCCCACGGCGCATGCAGGCTCTGGACGGTCGGACATCCGAGGGCAGAGCTCAGGGGGCAGGGCCTGGAGTCTAGAGCTGGGAGTGATGGAGGGCGTTAAGGGACAACAGGGGACAAGATGAGATCGTGGGCCTGGCCGCTGCCACCACCATTGAACCTAGCCAGGTGAGCATCGGGTAGACCCCAGCCCAGCGGTCCCCAAACCTTTCCTTTTTTGAACTCTGCGCTTGATCCCCTTAGACTCCGCTCCCGAGTCCCACCTAGATGGTCACGCCCACTCCGCTCAAGCCGGCCCTTCGCGGCTCTGCAGGCCCCGTTCCGGATCTCCACAAAGCCTGCCCCTCGACGGGCCCCGCCCCTTCCGGGCCCCGCCCCCTCTTCCGCCAGGCTCCGCCCCCTCTGGCAGCCCTGTTCGCAGGACCCCTTTACGCCGCCTATGCTCCAGGCGACTGGTATCTGGGGCTCCGATCCCTCCCTGAGCACCGGCTGGCGCTCCTTAAGTGCTTCCGCCTCCACACAGCCGCTGCTATTTCTCACCTTTTGGTCACAGCACCTGCCAATCAACTTGCTGCCAGACCAAAGATGCCATCTTCCCAAGGGCCCGCCCCCTCCTTGCTCTCGCCCGTGATTGGCTTGATCGCGGTGATGTCAACATTTCACTGGCGTCTCAGGTGGAGCGTGCCCGCCCTATAGTATGTCGGACAGGATGGAGGCGGGGTTAGCAGAAGGGTCTTTGTTCCTTCCTCCCGGTTCTCAGATGGTCCAAAACATCTTCAGTGAGAAGCACTCTTTCTCACTCCCGTTCAAGGCTCACTCTGAAGCCAATGCGGCAATCAAAGCCCGTCATCTATAGCACTAGCTGGACGTTAGGGAGGTCTGCTGGTGCACTGCAAATAGGGTTAAGCGGCTAACCCCAAAGCCACGCCTCTCTGGCCGTTGAACCTACCCAAAGGCCACGCCTCTCAGGCGATTGGAATCCACCCGCTGTTTATAACTTGGCAAACGCCCTGCAGGGTCAGCTATGAGATTCCTAGACCCCGGGTGGCATAAAGGTTAAGTTCTGTGGCTCAGATCCACCCAGTTGTTCCGCGTGAGAAAGACCTGGTGATCTCTAACTGAAGATTATAGTTTAGGAATCCCCTTGGGGCAGTTCTGTTCCGCCAAATAGGATTGTTAGGAATCAGAATCCACTGGTGGCACACAACAACAGCTGGAAGTTGCTTCCAGTTGGGATTGGGATCTCAGCCCGGAACTCAATTGTTTCCTTCCTTCCTTGCACAAGCGTGGGAAAACACATCTGCACAGAGAATTAAGAATTCCCAAACCCTGTCAACTACATCATCCCTGCAAAATCTTCTACTTCATTGTTATTCCCCTTTGACAAGGATGAACATCCTCAGCAAGGTGACAAATCTCATGGTGTATCACTCAGTGAAGCAAATGCAAGCTGTTGATCTTGCCCAAGAGACCTCCCCGAGCAACCTACCAAATGTAGAATCCTTCCTCCTATCCCTTAACCATGCTTTCTGGTTTTCCTAATAGCACTTAAAGCTCTATTTGACATGTTTTCTGTTTCCTTCACCCCTAGAACAGTGTACGTTCCACAAAAGCAGGGACAATTTTCTTTTTTTGTTGTACCTTCAGCATCTAAAATGCTATCTGAGTTTAGAAGACAAGAATTGTTTTTAACAAAAAGTGACCAAGATTAACTTTAAGCAGAGATCTGATTGCAGTTAGGAGGCAACCTCTGGGTGTAGCTATAGAAAAAGAGTCCTGGAGAGAGGAAACAGCAAAGTGGGGTGGCTGGAGTGGCAATGTACACACATGCTCAGCCCACTGTGGCTAGAACGAGGGGCACAAAAGTAAAAGATGAGAAGAGCGAAGATGGGCATCACCTAGTTTTATAGGCCACACTGGCAATTTTAGATTTTATTCTGAGATACATGGGACACTATGGGAGAGTCTTGAACAAAGAAAGGAGTGACAAGATTTGACTTGTATTTTTAAGAAGATTAATCCTGGTTCGAATCCACCAGATGCTGTGCTGGAGAAGGAGGAGCAATCTCCCCCTATACCAATCAGATCCGATTTGACAGTACACACAAAAAATAATAAAATAAAAATTAATCTGTATAGGAAATACGATGAATTAATGAAAAGATACCTCCCAAACCACAAAAATAGAGATCTGATGCCAGCGTTAGTTGAGATACATTTATTTGGATGAGAAAGAGGGCCAAGGGCCAGAAGCCTAAGGCTGGCTTAAGTCTCAGACCCGGGACCTTGCAGCCCTCATGGGCTGGGAGGGGCACCTTTTCTTGCTTAGGTTGGTGAGGATCTGGTCCTGGTTGGGCCGGTAAGGAACCACAAAACTCTGTGGAGGAAGAACTGGACCTCTATTCTCTTCCAGCTGACCTATAAATAGATAACTGGCTCCTGGGGGAGGGGGAAGGGATTGAAAAATTCATGTTACTGAGACCTTGTCAGTACACCTCCTACCATCCTCACCATTTCTTGTGGTTAAGGCCCTTCCCCCATTTTCTTCACATTACCTTTCTTCATCGGGGGGCACTGCTTGCAGGGCACGTAAAACTTCAGGATGCTATCAGTGGGTGGAGAGGGCAGCTCCAGATTTCCAGTTTTATAAGCACCAAGGAGACTGACAGTGACAGTGAGGCCCTCACCTGGGCCCCGCACCATGGACTTTACTGTTCCTGTCACCACTGTAGGAGATTAGGGGTGATGTGAGAAGACAGAGGGCCTGGACTGGAGTCAGAAGGAGGGGCAGCTCTGGAGATGGCAAGGTCAGGACTGGAAGAGCAGGACTGGGGGCTGGGATCCTTACCCAGGTTGCTGGCACAGAAGTTGCTCTGCAAGGTGCCTGATCTCCGGCACTGCTTGGGGCAGGGGGTGGCAGGTGAGTCTAGGAGGAAGGAGAGGCTGTTTGTGGAGGGTGGTTTACCCAGAAATTGCACTCTGCTGCTTCAGCCTCGTAGACTGGAATTTATTTCAAGCAGAAGCATTATCTAGGATATAATGGCAGGTGAGAGGCATGCACTATGGGCAACAAGAGTGAGAGTGCAGGGAAGTGTGCACTGCTGTCTGGGAGAAATCAGTTATTAATTTTAAAGTAACTGTCACAGGTTCTTTTTCCTATAGCTAACTAGGCCTGTGGTTCCAAGCTCTGTCCATTTCTCAGTAGGAAGCACCTAGCACCAGCCACTGGCATCGAGAAGGCATCAATGCTAAATACACAGCTGAGCATTTGAATGAGCTAAGGAAGGAATTCTGAACTGGCTCCCTTCCTCCCCGCTTCCCAGACTCACCAGGATCCACCCTGGTCTCTGCTTCAGGTGAGGCTTTTGGTTTCTCTGCAGGTGGGACTTGGGGCTTGGTGGCAGGCTTGACTTTGGGCCCAGCTGGCTTGGGGCTGGGTGGAGGGCCAGGTTTTTCATCTCCTCTGGAACTGTGGACTGGCCCTGCTTCGGTGGCACCTCGAGGCAGGGTCCTGTAGGAGGCTGAGAAGCCATCGGCAGTGACACTGAGGTCGGAAACGAACTGGACAAGGAGCTCGTTCCCTTCGGAGGAGATGGGGCTGCAAGGCGGGAGGGGTTGTCAAAGCCAGCCACATACCTACCCTACCCTGGGCTGAGTGTTGGCCTCTAACCTCTCTCCTATGCCCCACACTTCCCTCTTGTTCGGCCTGTCCCAGACCTGTGGCCAATCTTCCTGAGCATCGCCCCATCCCCAAATGCTCAAGCACTTTGGGCTCCAGGTGTGTCTGGACTACAGATGTGTCTGTGTGTGTGTGCAGGTTCCTCACAGGTTCAGCTAGGCCCCACTTCCTCCCAAGATTAGTGTGGCAAGGCCCTCTGATACCAGGTGAAGGTTTCAGTCCACACTGCCCACCCTAGTCCTGTCCCCTCACCCTGAGACTGTGTCTCCTCACCCTGGGACTGTGTCCCCTCACCCTGGGAACGTGTACCCTCACCCTGGGACTGTGTCCCCTCACCCTGGGAACGTGTACCCTCACCCTGGGACTCTGTCTCCTCATCCTGAGACTGTGTCCCCTCACCCTGGGAATGTGTCCCCTCACCCTGGGACTGTGTCCCGTCACCCTGCGACTGTGTCCCCTCACCCTGAGACTGTGTCCCCTCACCCTGGGAATGTGTCCCCTCACCCTGGGACTGTGTCCCGTCACCCTGCGACTGTGTCCCCTCACCCTGGGAATGTGTCCCCTCACCTTGGGACTATGTCCCCTCACCCTGGGAATGTGTCCCCTCACCCTGAGACTGTGTCCCCTCACCCTGGGACTGTGTCCCCGCAGAACTTCCCCAGCCTCTTCGAGTCGTCGCTCAGGGCTCCGTTGAATACACTGACCGAGTCATAGCGGCAGTAAGTGTCTGGTTCCAGGTCAAACTTTCCGAAGGTCAGCGAGATTACCTAGCAGTGGAAGAGGCAAGACTGCATGGCCAAGCTGAGGACTCGGAGGGAGTCAGCCCTGCTTTTCTTACCTCCTCTGCCCGCTGCGTCCTGGATGCTTGGCCTCTGTTGTCACTTCCAGGATACACTCAAGCCCTGCCTCACACCATCCTATCAACACCCCTGAAACCTTGCAGTCTCCCCCTTCCAGCATCTTATACCTCAGTCTCCTTAAGTTTCATCACAGTTGTAAACCACTCTGTGTGTGTGTGTGTGTGTGTGTGTGTGTGTGTGTGTGTGTGTGCGCGCGCGCGCGCAATCAAGATCTGGGCGTGCTTTGCTCCCCACTAGCAAAAGCTCAGAGCTTGGGACAGGGCAGATGTTCAAGAGATCCTTGTCGGCTCCAAGTCAGAGGCTTAGCCTAGTCTCCCGCGGACAGCTAAGGGCGCAGCAGGGCAGCGGGGGTGGGTACCTGGTCCGGTGGCGAGATGATGTGCCAGGAACAGCTGATGCCCGGGGGGTAATCGGAATCGGGCCAGTTGGGCGTGGTCAGGGTTCCCTGGGCCTTCTCCAGACGCCCCCCGCAAAATTGGTGCTCTGGGGAGGGGAGAGAGGAGCAGGGGGTGGGGGCCGGTGGAGACCCTCGATCAGCTGGGGAGGAGGGAAATCTAGGGCTTGGAGTCCGTGCAGAAAGCGCGGGTGTTCGGGTCTCAGGAGGAAAGCAAGGAAAGAGGGAGGGGAGTTAGCAGAGAGGGGCGGGTGGGAGTGGGGGGAGCTGGGCTCTGGGAAGCCTGGGACCTCAGGGTGACCAGACGGGAGGTCAAAGGGGAATTGGCTGGGCACGCCCCCTTTCTGCCCCTCCCTCTGACCCGCAGCCACGCAGTTCCTCTTTCCCTGGGAGATCCCATCTCCTCGGCCGGCAGAGAAGTCCCTTATTTGCAGGCGTAAGATCCCTCATGGTGAGGGTGCCCTTGCTTTTCTTTAGGGAGATCTCTCCCTGAAACATTCGAAAGGAGACTTCTTGACGCCAGAAGGGGTGATGGGACCGCAATCGGGAGCCAAGGGCTGGATGTGAGAGGCTCCACGTCTGGAGATCTCCCAGCTCTGGGGTGCCCTCTTACGCCCCTCTAAAGGAGCCCGATTGCGGACGGGGGCGGGCAGTTACTCACCGTCCCAGTAACCCCAGGCCGCCCATTCCACCCGCGGGTCGGTGACCCATTTCCGCCTCGCGCCTGGGGGAGGGCCTGGAAGAGGGGGTAGGTGGGAGCGGGAAGGGGGAGAGAAGACGGGGAGGAGGGACTGAAGGGGCAGTTAGTGAGGGGAGAGGGTATGGGAGGTGATGGGGGCCCTAGGCTCTGGGGCACAAGTTTTTAGGGTTGCAGTTAAGGCTGGGGGTGGGGCCGGGAGGAGGAGGAGGAAGGCGGAGGTGAGGGAGGTCTCACCAGTGCCCGAGGTGGCCCTCCCGCTGTACCAGAGCAGGAAGCCTCGTCCTCCCGTGCCCTCGTCAGCGGTCATCCTCAGGGTCACCTGGTTACCCGGGGCGACGATTGGCGCTGGCCGAAATGTCCCGCAGAAACGTCCGAGCCTCTGGCCCGACGTCCCGACCCCCGCAAAAACCTCCAAAGCATCATAGCGACAGGCGGGGTGCTGCTCCAAATCAAAGACCCGGAAGGAGAGAGACACAGTCTGGCCCTCAGGGACCTGGAAGCAGAGGCAAGGGCAGGGGACCCCCACAGTTAGGCCACACACAGTGCAGGCCGAGGGATTTCCTGCAGAAACTGGCTCCATAGGCCTGGGACAGTTTGGGACCCCACTGGGGAGCAGAGAGGAGGGCAGGTTCTGCAGGCTGGCCTGAGCACAAGACAAGGGCTGAGGTCCTAGGAGGACTTAGAGGGCAAGAAAGACGCTGAGGTGGGAGAATCACACCTAAAATAGATGAAGAGATTAGAGATGGGCTGATGGCAGCAGGGGACTAGATGGGATAACATCCCCAGGTTGGAAACGTGGTGTTAGGGGTCCCCCTGGGCAGTTAGGCCTTTGCCAGCCAGAACCCATTCCTTGGAGGTCTTACAGTGACCAGAGGGACCTTCTCACCGTTATTGTCCAGATGCACTCCTTACTGGGGGGATAGAGGTTGGGGAAACCCTCGCTTGCCACGTAACCTGACTCTGCAGTTATTTCCCCTCCACACAGGAACACAGGTCTGGAGAATGGAAGAGAGACTCCTCATGAGTCCAAGGAACAGGGGAGAGGACAGAGAGAGAAAAAAGGCCAAGGGGTCTAAGCAGAGCAGCCAGGCTGGAGGGGACAAGGATATCCTGGGACCAGTGACTCAGGCATCTCTCCCCACCCCCACTCTGGGACTGGAATTCCCGGAATCCTCAGCCCCCCTTCTTCATGCTCCCTCTTCGCCTTGCCTGGCAATGGGGACAGGAGCCGCCTAACTGCTTCCAGATGTGGACACAGCCACGAGGAGAGTCGGTGGGGGGTGGAGGGGGAAGGGGCGGAGAGATGAAGGCAGAGGCAACAGCAATGGCCTCAAACTGAAATTGGACATCAGGCGCCCTGAGTTCTCACCCTTTGCCCTGCTTCCATTCTGGCTAACTACTTGAGTATGTGATTCCCAGGTCTCCCACACTCCTACCCCACAATATTCTAATTCCCTCATGGAGTCCAGATGTTTCGCTACCAAGTAAGTTCCAAGTCTGAACCCTGTCAGTTTCCATCAAGGTGGGGGGCACCCAGGACTGGGTAGATTGGGAGACTTGGAGGGCAGAGGGCGAGGGATGGAAGAATGGGGAGCAGTGCTGAACTGAGGAGACAGTCTTATAGCAGAGAGGAAGGGCTTGGAATGCACAGAAATGAGGGCTGTGGTCAATCTGGAGAGTGGTGCATTAGCAAAAGGATCCACAAACCCCCCCAGGCATAAGCCCCCAGAAACCAGGGCTTTTGAAGCTTCCTGGACTTATCTGGTTGGTGCCAAGAGACCTACCTGGTATAGTTGGGGGTCTGGCCCTGGGCAAGGGGCAGCAGGGCCCAGGCAGTGAGGAGGGGCCCCAGGAAGGAGGCTGTGGCAGCTGGCAGCATGGCTGGGGGGAGAGGCACTGGGGTCCTCAGGACAGAGGCAGCGGTGGAGTTTAGCGGCAGCAGTGGCGGCAGCAGCGAGATAATCAGTGCCAGATGAGGCAGCCGCGGGTGTGTGGGCGTGGGGACTGGCCAGTGGGGAGGATAGGGGAGGCGGGCCGGGGAGAGCAGAGCTGGGACAGTGGGGAGTTTAGGGGCCTCTTTAGGTCCAGGACACATAAATATTAACCTACATTGGGTTGGGGGTGGAGCATCAGACCCTTGGCCGGAATCAAGACATTAAGATAGCTTCTGGTCTTCCCCAGGAGACTAGGCTACCCAGGACCACTCCCACTCATTGTTTCTTCACACCTGAGTCTTTGGATTCTTCTTCTACCGCTCTTCCTGATCACCCTCGGATCTGTCCTCTATCCTCAGGAGATTTCTCTCCCAAACATATGAAGGTACAGACAGGAGAGGGTAGGGAACATTGGTATGTATGTGCATCAATATTCTTATATTGAAACCTATAAGGAAACCCAGTCTCCTTTTCCCAGAGGGACGACGAAAAAGAGAGGGAAACTGAGAAAGAGGAGGCTGGAGACCTTGGAATGATCCGTGTGCTGCCAGAAGGGAGCAGAATGTCAAGGAAAAGCACATGTGAGATCAGACCTGGAGTAATCAAGAGAAAATGGTTAACTTTACAGGAATAAAGGGAAATGAGCAGGAGATTGTCAGGAGTCAGAAGAAAGTGGCTTCCTCTGATATGGAGGATCTGTGTGGGGAAGTAAGACTGTGAGTTAACTAGGTTGTTCCAGAAAGTGGGACTATGATTTCCAAGTTAAAAAAGACTGGGATGGGTCTTCAGAGAGCAGGAAGGAGGAAGCTGAAATCAGGTGGTTCCTGGCCAGCAGCAACTGTGACCTGAGCCGCCACGTCTGCTCCTGTCCTGCCAGCCTCCCTCCCCTCACCCAGCGGCTGTCTGGCTCCCGTCCCCCCTGCCCCTTCATTTTGCACCCAGGGTTCCAAACTGGGCCTCGCTCAGACTTTTATTCTAGTTGTCCATCAGATATCTTGTCCAAGGTAGCAGGTTGAGAGCCCCTCCTGGGCAGCCCCCAAATATTTCATAGAACAGTTCCCTGTCCCCCGTCCTGGTATGTCTGGCAGTCCCTGTCCCCCTGTACCCCCTCCCCCTGTATACACAGTATTCCTTGCTGCCACTCCATCTCTCCTTAGCCCCTGGCCCAGGGCCAGACATCCCCTCCAGGGGTGAGGCTAGGAGAGAGGAGTCAGCTCTCAGCAGCTGGGGGGCCTGTGCCGACCCCTCCAGCAGCCCTCTGCAGCATGTCCAGGGCCTCCCAGAAGAAATCTCTCTGTGCGGCCATCAAAGGCATCCAGCCCACGATCTCCTTCATCTTCTCCATGCGGTCCTGCAATGTGGGGCAGCTGTGGATCTGGCTGAGGTACTCCTCACAGGCCTGTGCTGCCCCCCCGAGGTCCTGAGGGGGCCCGGCCCTGAGGCCGGGTTCAGGGGTCCCCACCACCCTGCTGGCCGGCAGGTCCCGATAGGCGAGATGGTGCTCAATGTCATGGCTGGACAGCAAGTAGAGGCACTCTCTCGTGGAACAGAGTGAGCAGGCACAAAAGGGGACCTTGGAGGAGAAAGGGGCATGACCCAATGGGACCCTTGGTCCAGGGGTTCCAGGGACATCCTGGCTACTCAGGTCTGTGGTGTCCCTCCCTCTCAAAGCAGCCCCAAGCAGCCAAGGAAGCGGACTGCTGGCAGAGCCTCAGGGTCATGTAAGGTTAGAGAGAGCTGGGAGTCCTAGAGCCTGGCAGGAGAGGAAGAAAGGGTGGGACTGGGGGAAAGGGCCCTCTGTGAGTATGTGCAGGAGCCCAGCTCCAGCCCTCTGGTCTACCTGACTTTATTGTTCCTGCCCTCCCTGACCACCTGACCTTGACTTGGAGCTTGACGAAGGAGGCACTCCCTTTAGGCCAGCCCGGGAGGCGTCCTCCAGCACCACAGCCACAGCCCAGCAGCTCCTTGCTGAAGTCTGAGCCCTGACTCAGAACCAGGGAGTGGTTGAGACCGCACCACAGGGCAATGGGACGTTGCAGATAATATACCTGAGGATACAGGGTCAGGGCCCCTGAGGGGGGAACAATCAAGGGCTGAGGGTCCAGGTCAGGGACGGGTAACAGGAAGGCTCAAGAGAGAATATAAACTAGGAAGAAATGGGACCAAGCACCCCTCTTATGAAGTCACCCCACTGACTGCCATGGGCCCCATGTCTCTGCTTGGGTACTCCTGCTGCCCTGTGGTCTAATGAGGGGCTGGGTCTATCATTCTCATTGGTGCTTTGTTTCTGTGCTGCTCTCCACTCTCTCATCTTACCCATCTAGACCTCTGGCCTCTCATTCAGCCTCAAAGTTAAACCAAATCCACAGCCTTCTAGTTGACTGACTCAGAGAGCCTGAAGGAGTCGGCCCAACTGCTCTTAGGTTTCCAAGGCTGTACATCTTCACAGAAGCAGATCGTCTCATCTTTCTCCCCTGGAGCAGCTGCTAAATTTGACCCACCAACCATTTGGTTACATCTGGATTCTTTAACGATTATGCCACCAGGACTCCTCGGGGGGAAGAAATCGCCTTCCTCTTGTGCAGGCGCTCTCATCCTGTGCAGTTCCAGGTCAGCGCTCAAAGAAGGGTTTCCCGCCTTTTTTTTTTTTTCTTCCTTTGTCTCTCTAGCATTTTTAATTTGTCATATTACAACCCTAAAAAGTTACCATATATATAGCATATGAAAAATAGCTATCTTTTAAAAAAAAATTCCTCAATACATTCCTCTTGACTCCAGCCACTTCCTATGTGACCAGTCTGAGGTTGGCCACATTTTTTCCTCACCACATCCAGGTTTTCCTGAGTTTTCTAAGAACTGGCTCCTCGCCCTACTGACGTGCTCTCCGTAAAGGCACTGCCAGCTCCCAGGGCCTCTCACACAATCTCCTGACACTGTGAGCACGTTGAGTTTTAGAGCACAGGTAAGTCATTGACCGTCATTAGAGAAAAACAGCGATGCACCGGAAAACAAATATTGAAAAATTCCTTTTCACTGTTTCCTATGCAAATACCTACATCCATGTGTGTGTATGTATATGCATATCTGTATATGCATATACATACACACACACACACACACACACACACACATATAAAACAGTTTCTTTTTAAACAAATGTAGTCTTACACCATGTCCACCATTTAATAAAGTTGGGGCTTTTTTTACCTAAAAATATGACATGAACGTCTTTCTCTGTCAGTAAATATATTCCCATAGTGGTAGCGCTCTGTTAACTGCCCACTCTTACTTGAAATGTTCTGCTCCACGGCTCCTAGGATATGGCATTTGAGGGGCGAGCCTACCCTCTCAGAGACAACATCATCTCTATTCCTACTACCCCCAAAGTAGCCACTCCTCAGGATTTACCTGTCTCTTGGTCATTTCAATCTGTTCCAGTGGGGAATCTTTAATTGCCAGTGAGGCATTTTCCCTTTAGTGTTTTATTACCACTGCAAAAAGTTCAAATCACATTCTTCTTTCTAACTCAATTTTATGGGCAATACCATCTTTCTCCAAGGGACCTATTTCCTGAGCCAGGTTTGTCAGACTTGCCCCTCTTCGCATCTAAAAGTTACTAGGCCTATTCATTTTCTTTTAAGACATCTCTCAGATCCATTCACACTACCACTGCATTGACCCAGGTCTCTGTCTCAAAGTGCTATTATCACTCACAGTTCCCTAGTAGGCTTCCTGTTCTCCAGAGTGCTAACTACTACTGCCAAGTGTTCTCAGTCACCCTCTGGGGTGCCTTTTCCTCCGGGCTTTCACCCACCTAGATCTCTTCTCACTGATTCCTAACACAGTCTCTCTGCCAGAGTCCCAGGTACTCTTTGTTCCATTACACAGAATGCTTTTCCCTACCTACCTAGGCCTGTTTATATCTTAGCTGTTCCACTTCCTCCAGCCTCCCTTTCTCTTCATTGAATTCTTCTTGCACCTGTAGTTTGTACTACACAGAACAGCACTGAATTCGACCTCATGGTGTCAATCCAGGACAAGACATGGAACACAATCACAGGAATTACATACTGACTGGCTTCATTTCCCTACAGAGTAGCAAGTGGATTCTCTGGAAAGTGGAGAAGCCCAGGGGTTAAAGAGTGGGAGGAAGAGGGTCAGGATGAGTGCTGCTGGGAAGCAGTCTCACCTGAGTGGGTTCCCCTCGGTCCATTTTGTCCCCTGTTCCCAGCTGCCCATATCTGTTATTTCCCTGCATGAAGATTCGGCCAAATTCATCCACCAGGCCAAGGTGATTATAGCCAAGAGCACAAAATAGTATCTAAGAGCAAAGATAGAAAGGAGATAGTGCTCAGCTCCTGGCAGAGAAACTCTGACCTCTAGAATCTCCCAACCACTAGGCCTCCATGTCCAGGTGGTCTTTCTTTCTTATGCCCTTACCCTGTACCCTGTCTGAAAGATCACTTAGCTCCTACCCCTCGTTCAGGCTCTTGGTATCTTCGAATCCCTAAAGTCCCTCCTACTTTGGCCTACCCCTTCCCCCAAGAACCTACCTTGGCAGGCAGTGAGAGAGCAAGTGGCATCTGCTGGTCCAGGGGATCAAAGGCTTGGAGGGTCCCAAAGAGATCACGATACACCCCGGGGGTGTGCACCTCAAAATACACTGCCCCCTGGTCTGGGGAGTCAGGAGCCTTCAGCTCAGTGGCTTTGGGCACCAGTTTTCTAGGGATAAGGTTCCCCTCCCCACCGCCCGAATATCACACCCAACAGAAATGCATCTTTTCTTCAGGATGCTCTGAAGGGTTTACCATCGGGCTGGGACAGGGAGGAGGCTGTCAGCCTTTAGAGGGTTTGCTGAGGGCTGGATGGAGTCTTGAGAAGAAGGAAGGTGGTTCTTACCTGTGATATAGAGGGTACTGCTCTGATTGGAAGCCATACAGGCCACACGAAGGTGAGGCAGGCAACGGGACACCTTCCTTAGGGTCAGCTGGACTGTGTAGGAACGTGGCTGGTCCAGCTGAGTTTCATTCACCACCAACGAGTAGATCTTCCCTTCCTCTGGGAGGTGCGAGGAGGCAGATAAATATGGAGGCAGAGCCTCTCCAATAGCTATATTACCTTCCCAATAGACTTCCCTATGCCATACAGATAAAACTTAACTGCCTCCAAAGAAGTTGAAAGGAACAGAGTAGAGATGAAATAAAGGCATATTTATTTCAATTTAAAGTATCTTTGGACCTCAGGAGCTCTAGTGGTCTCGTGGCAAGAAGCTGCACTGCAATCCCAGAGGTATCCGGTTCGAATCCACCAGATGCTCTGCTAGAGAAGGAGGGGCAATCTCCTCCTGTACCAGTCAGATCCAATTTGACGGTACACACACACACACACACACAAAATAATAAATTTTTTTTTAAAAAAGTATCTTCAGACCTCACATTCCCCAGACTCCAGACCCTAGCCACCAAAAGCAAATCAGAGGAGTACTTTAGTGTAGGAGATAAGAAAGAACATACCAGATCTGAAAAATCCACTGAAAGGCAGGAAGAGTAATATTTAGGAGGTTTCGATCCCTATATCGCCTTAAGTGATACACAGGAAATCATGTTTAGGGGTTTGGTCAAATTTGGAGGCATACATTAGAAAAAGAGAAAAAAAAATTTAAGAAAAGATAAAGAGGAAGAAGTTTGGGGAAAAAAAAGAGGTGGTGGTATGTAAATTGGGGAGATTAGCATTTTAAAAAAATCCAAAGAACCCAGGCATCCACTTGAACAGTGATTTTCAAACTAGTGTTTTCGGCAGCGAGGTCATTTATTCATACATATTAGACAGAATCGCTAGACGAGGAGACAGGCAAAAACCAATTCACTTAATTTGAAACCAGAAAAGGTGGCATGCAGAGCCCTCTGAGACCTCCCTTTTCCCCTGGAGAAGGCCCTAGAAGAGTCCGCAGGGAACACTTTGGAAACACTACCTTGGGCCATACCTGTGAGGAGCAGTAGTGACCGCTGAGTCTCCTGACCAACCAGTGCGATCTGTTTGAAGCTCATGGAGTGGTGGAAGGTCATCTTAAACACACGCTGTCCGCTGGACTGCAGATAGACCTCCACGCAGTCACAGACCCGGCTTCCTGTTGTGCCCACCACTCCGAACTGCTCCCGAGTGGCCAATACATAGAGGTATTTACGGTAAACAGTGTCACATCTTGGGTCAGAGGCAAACTGTGAGAGAAGATAAAGGGTTATGGGGATGTATAGCCTGGGGTGGGATGAAGCCAGGCTAACTGCATTTTGGGTACAGAAATGAGATACTTGGGTCTTGAGATGGAAAATGAGGACTTATTTATGAGGGATGAGTTCTCAGTTGTTTGGGTTCTGCTACTCACATCTTTGGCTCCGCGACATAACACAACATAGCGGCAGGCCCGCTTCCACTGGATCTGGCCAAGGGTGGAGGACACCAGGGCATTTTTGAGGAAGAAGAGGGTCCCCGTGTAGTCAAGAATGAAGACATGGTCCTTGGTGGGCAAAAAGCGACGGTAACCGTGGGCTAGCAGGGGTGCCACACTTTTGTTGAGACAACGGCGGCGGCCCCCAAATGCTTGGAAATACAGGCCCTTCGTGTCTGGAGGAGGGAAGGAGATAGAAGGTTCATGGTGTGGAGATGACACAAGTCAGAGGTTGGGCATAATGATCTCTCAGACACCTGGGCATTAGGCTCCTTTCTGTCCTCAGGGCTGATAATAGACAACTTAGAAGGCATACTCAGTTACAGCCCATGTCTGAAATTAAGTACCCTACCCCACCTCAGCCCTGAGCCACACACACTTCTGAGTAAGCACTCCTAATTTTTTTTTTTTTTATCAGAGACATAAAGAGAACAAGAAGAATAAGTATACAGACAAGAGGCAGGAGGAGTGAAAAACAATGACTTAAGCTAGCAACTCTCCCTCACTCCCAGCTCTGGATCTGCTATGTGGAGAGAGGGCTTTTCTCCTAATCTTCTGGTATGCGAGATGAAATGAATGGAGATAGACAGAGGCTCTGGGGAGTGGAAGGGTTTTAAGAGCATGGTTCTCAACTTGGGATCATAGTGATCCTCTGAGGCCATTTTCGCTGTCACAACTGAGGGAGATGTTGCTGGCTTCTAGTAGGGAGAGGCCTAGGATGCAGCTAAAAATTCTGTAAGGCACAGAACAGGCCCCCCCCAAAAAAACCCACAAAAACACGTGCCTAGTGACAAGAATGAAAAGCCTGACTTAACAGAGGGGTGGGTGTGTGGAAACTCCAGGTTTGGGTAAAATTTAGAAGACAGTTTCCACATGGAGAGAACTAGTAATGCAAAGGATACCTATCCGAGGGTAGTTCTAGACACTTGGAGGAAGTAGTCAATTGAGTGTGTTTGAGTCTAACAAATTTCTCTCTGAGAAAAGGGTCCTTCAAGGTTGCCTGAAGAGAGCAAAGGGCATCAGACAACTTTACAGAGCAGGAGGGATCCCAGAGTGGGCTAGGACAGAGGCAAGGAAAACTGGAGGTTCTGGGGAAGGTGTACAGTTAAGAATGGCAGCTCTCTTCCAGGGCCGGACCCCAGAACCCTGTTCTCGCAGGCGAGGACTGAGCCTGCTGCAGATGCGCCTCCACACGCCCTCAGCATCGCACACTTGGTGGAAGTAGCGGCAGGTCTGGCCCAGGGCGAGTACATCTTTGACTGGGAGGAATGAGATGATATGCTCCACCTGGTGGGCAGGAAGGAGGAAGCAGGGGTCACTGGGATTCCTTGGTGATCTGGCCTCCAATCCTTTAGTCTCGACACCTGCCCTCTCATAAAGACTTACCAGCTCTGGGGGGAACAACTGAACAGAAACAGGCCTCCCTCTCCCTTTCTTCTTTTCACCCCAAAACTCTGGGCCACAGGAAGGGCAGCTCCGCTTCACCTGCCCAAGGAGAAGGGAAGAGTCTGGGGCTCCATGAGGGTTGTGCCTCTTTTCCTCCTCAGCCTATCTTTCCTAACTCTGACTCCCAGCTCTGTGTTGTGAAATCACTCCCCCTCTCTCCTTCTATCAGTCACCGTTCCCTGCCTGCCTGGTTCCCCACTTCTTGAAATAAGCCTTCTCAGGGACCACCTGGGGCCATCTCCCTGCCCTTCCCTTGCCTGCTCCCCTCACCCTGAGCCTCTTTTCCAATCCTTGCCCATACAGTCGGGTGGATTTTTGTAGCTTCTGTCTCCTACTTCTCCTCAACATCCTGACTGCCCCTTCCCTGGTTCTGCCCTCCTCCCTGTAGGCCCTCTGGGTCCCTACTGCCTTTCTCACACCATGTCCCCTGCCTGGGGCTCAGAAGACTTCTGGGGCTCCTCTGCTTCCTAGACCCCTCCCCCTTTGGAGCCTGGGGCAAACAAATGTCTCTGTGACCTCACTGTTCAGTCACTGTGACCTACTTTCCTCACGTTTGCCCGCGATTGTATCTCAAGACAGCTCCTGGGTTCTAGCGGAGCTGGAGCCGCCAAATGGCTCATGGGTGTGCAAATAAAAATGTGGACTATTGTAGAGGAGACCTTTACGTTTTTCCATGTGAGGCCCTTTTAGCACGAACTCTGTAGAGAAATTCTGGTGAAGTCTCCCTATCCGAGAAGACAAGGACTTCGAGGGAATTTGCAGCCCAAGAAGCAAGTTAAAACCAACAGAAAATTAAGTATAAACTCAATTTGGTAGGTAAGAAGGAAAGATGACACTTCTGATGGCCACCCAGTTCACAGAAGCATGCAGCGGGTGCAAATGGGGCTGATTCAGCACGACTCTCTCCTGACAGTGCTCATTAAGGGCGGGCACTTGGGACAGTAACATCACTGTGTGAAGGGCACCCTGTGAAGGTGGAAGGAAAGGGTAGGTTTACTTTCCTCTTCTGAAAGTTTAGAGTGTCTTCTAGAGTCCAGAAGGAGCCCTGGTGGTGGAATGCATAATGTGTGGGGCTGCTAACCGAAAGGTTGATAGTTCAGTCCACCAGTTGATTTTGGAAATATGGATGAGCAGCTTCCTCCAATAAAGATTTACCACCTAGGAAACCGAATGGAGGGTTGCTATAACGGAACCAACTCATGGAGGCAGCGTGGGGGAGAGGACTTTGGTTCTTAGAATCTAAGTCATCAACTTACATCTTAATAGAAGCTGGGGTTCTTGCCCAAGAACATGGAAACAGCCCAGATGTCCAACCACAATGGAATGGATCGAAAAATTATGGTACCTTCATTCATACAATGGAATACTATGCAGCACGTAGAAGCAATGACTTTGTAAATTATTACCTAGCTTGGGAGGGACTGGAGAGCATTACGCTGAGTGAACTAATTCAGTTCCACAAAGACAAATATTATACAAAACCACTTTTGTAGAATGAGTACGAGGATGCAAGGGGAGGAGGGTGGAAGCAGAGAGGTGAAGATGTGCGGGGAGGGGGAGTTAATTATGGGGTTGTACAGTATGATGGGGGGTGAGGGACACTGGGAGAATCTGGTTTGAAAAACAATGTATTTGAATTTTGTAAGTAGTGATTTGTAACTAGTGTGACTTAAAAAAAAAAAAAAAAAAAAAAAAAAGGCAGCAGCAGCCGCTGGAGCTGTAAAGTTAGGACCAGAAGTTCTAGGTTAACAAGTCCAAGAAGTTGCTGGCTTTTCCGGGGGCGCAAAGGAACCCGTCTCCGTGGACACGGAGGCAGGAGCTACACAGTATTACAGCATCAGTCATTCCTTTACTGTGCCAGGTAATAGACTTTGTCAACCATCTAGTCAAATGTGTACTTCTGGCAACAAATTTCGTATCTGGGATATGAGTGATAGAAAGTAACTGCAGGTATTAATGGCTGTTCTTAAGGACCATTCCTAGGCGGGACCGACCCATTAGCGGACCCTGAAGCGGGTTTTCAGGGGCAGTAGATTGCAGAGAGGAGACTGTCCATCTTCCTCTGGTGGAATAGGGCCTCTGAGGTGATGAAGTCCCCTCTAAACTTCCCAGGTCTTGTGCCTCTAACTCTTGACAGGAGCGGGACCGCTCCTCTGGTCAGGTTGACAGGTGGGAGGATTGCCCACCCGTTCAGGGTTTTCCTCTCCCTCCTAATTCTCTGCCTTCATGCTCCCTTCACGAGCGGGGAGTGGGAGGGGTAAGAGATCTACAGTTTTGGGGGAGGCGCCCCGCCCTGGGAGGAGGGACCCTCGCACGTCTCCGTGATGCTTTCAACTGCATCTATCTCCTCTACGAACTGGCTCAGGCGCCAACTGCATCTATCTCCTCTACGAACTGGCTCAGGCGCTAGCTTTGCTCCATTGGTCTCTTTCCTCGCGGTCTCCACGCTGGCTGTCCCCTAACATACTGGCCCTGCACACCCGCTCCAGCCCCTGCACTGACTGATCCAATGGGCCAAGGCGCACAGCGCTTATCCTTTACCTCAGTCTCAAAGTTCTAGCTCACCGGCCTCCTCCTTAGCGATGAGAACGCCTTCTCGCCCATGCTATTGGTAAGTAGAGCTGTCTCTCAGAACAGAGGCCAGGTTCTGGCAGAACTGATTGGTTTTCTTGACAGTCACTCGATGGTATCTGGTTTCTGATTGGTGATCGTGAGACAAGGAAGGCTAGCCCGGTTGGTGGTCTCTCGAGTCCCCTGACTTCTAGTTGAGAGTCGGAGTTCCCGCCTCCTGCTTGGATTTTATTGGCTCCGTCTCCAACCCTAAGCATTGCGATTGGATGTTGGTGGGTCGGCTAGAGCGGGGCCGTTGACGAGCGCTCGTTCTCTTTCCCTCCCCTTCCCTCGCCTCACTCCAGTGTTGGAGTATCCACGCCCACCCGGTTGTCCCCCCAGCTTCTGATTCGCTGCTTCTGACGCATCTCGGAGCCCGGATTGGTCCGCTGAGCTGCGCCCTGCTTCCTCGCCTCCGAAGTGACTACGGCGGCTCCGAAGAGGGGGAGGGGGCGAGGAGGGACTGCCGGTCCCGTCAGTCAGGCAGCGGAAGCCGCCGGGAGCGGATGGCGGCGGTGGTAGCGGCCACATTCGCGGCCGGGGGAGAGGAGGTGGCGGTTACGACCTCCGTTCCGGGGACTCCCGGACTGCCCGGCAGCCGCAGTGCTGAGCGCGCCCTAGAAGAGGCCGTGGCCACCGGGACCCTGAACCTGTCTAACCGGCGTTTGAAGCAGTTTCCCCGGGGCGCGGCCCGCAGTTACGACCTGTCAGACATCACTCAGGCTGGTGAGTGTCCCCCGGCCTCCTGGCGGGCCCCGACCTCATTTGCATAGCCCCGCCTCTTCGGGTGCATTGCTCCCAGCCGGGGCCCACCCCTTCTTCACCTGGCGCGGGACTTCTGGACCCTTAATTTGCATAGGCCTGATACCACCTGCTCCCCACTTTTAAGAACTAGACAATGAGTGTACTCTTGGTTTGCTCGGGACGCCCCACCTCTCCCGCTGAGCGGTGCGAGCGCTCCGGCTTTTCTTTATTTGCTTCTCGGCTCACCTGTAGACGGGTCCCGCCCCTCACCTGGCCGGCTCATTTGCATGGCCTCTTCCACCTCGGTTCGCATCGGTCCCTAAAGCAGCACCCCTGAGCTCCTCCCGCCTCGTTCTCCCCTTCGTCCCACCTCCTCCTCCTCCTCCTCTCGTTCCACCCCGATCTGAGCCCCCCACGCCCTTCCCTTCCCGTGGGCTTGGCTCCGCGACCACCCGATGTTCCTGCTTCCTTTGCAGGGAGCCCCGCCCCCCCCAGCCGACAGACCCCCCTGTACGCCTCACGCTGCCAGCCTGGGGGAAAGAAGGGACCCCCTTACCTTTCCCAGCTCTTCCCCCTGGGCTCTTTTCTCCTAAACCCCGGACCCCTATCAGTGAGAGGCCCCGGTCCTGTCTATGTGAAGTCATTGTGGAACCTGTGACTTCATGGGGCTGGAGAATTCTCTTGTCAGTTTCTGCTTTCCCTCGAGGGAGCAACTTGAAGCTGTTGCTGGAAAGAAGGAAATCTTATCTCCCAGCTGGGAGTGTTGGGAAACTCGAGGCCCGTCCTTCCCCTTCTCTACCCGCAGGCCCCTCTCATACCGTCCAGCGGCCCCTGCTATCAGGGGCTGGTGGGAGGTGGGCACAGTCTGGCCTCAGCTGCTGGGGAGGCGGCTGATGACCTTGGCCTGGCAGCTGCTGGGCAAAGGAAGGAGGAGGAGGAGGAGGGCTTCGTTCCTAAAGCCACCCTAGCCTAGCCCAGGGGTGAGGGGGTCCCCTGGGCTCCTCCTCCAGTCGGGGGCTGGACACTGCAGACGACACTGCCCTTCCTGGGAGTGCCTCTCTCCCCAGGCAGGTATCTGCTCACCTGCACTACACCTGTTTCTCTCTGAGCCTCTTCGCTTTACTTGGATTGTGAGTTGAACTGGCTTGCCCACCATGCCCTATGTGAGCTCAGGAGCTGGGAGCGCCCCAGGGGCCGGGGCTGCCTCTCCCCAGCTCCCTGACAGCAGCTCCAGCTCCAGATTGACCTCGGCAGCTGTGTGACACTGGCCCTCTGTTTCCCTCCCCCTTGCTTGTTTTTTGACAAAGACCAAATGTTATTCTTTACTTCCTTAGGGCTCTGTCTCAGGGAGTGGACTCGTGGGGAAAGCTCCAGCCTCTCCCAGCTTCCCCCCACCCTGCTCCTCCTCCCCCAGCATTCCGGCTCAGGGTGCAGTCAGTTCTCCTTTGAGCTTGGGTGGTGAAGCGGGAAAGCCACACAGGAGTCTGGGACGCGTCCCTTTGGGCCCTGCGTCTAGGGCCTGTGAAATAGCTTGTCCAGAATCCTATTCTTCTGTCCTTTCTGCCACCGAGTGCTTATAGCTTGGGGTGGAAAGGGGAAGTGACAAAAACAGTGTTGTCCATACCCTTTCCTCCACACCCCCTTGACCCCCAGGGCAGATGAAAACCTTTAGTGCTCTACTTCCTGGATCTTTTGCAACCCTCTCAGCCTCCTCCTCCTCCAGCACCTTCGGAACCAGCGTTTTCCCTGGTGTGTCTTCTCTGTGACTCAAGTCCCTAATATCCCCTGGACTCTGTCCTCTGGGGTTTGGTCTGGAAGACTCCTGAGGTGGGGGGGAGGGGTCACTCCAGCAAAGGAGAAGTACAGCTCATTCTCTCACCGACCACATCCTGTGCCTCCTGTGCCCTGCCTCCTCCAGCCTGGGCTCCCTTCCGCTCCCAGCTTTTGCCCCCTGCCACCTGCTTACCCATCAGGGTTGCTCTCCACCCCCTTTATCTGCAGGCAGACATATGCACACCAACACATTTATGGACACAGTGAGGCAGGAAGGTGGAGTGAATTTTCTCCTCCCATGACAGGTCTTGTAATGTCTATATATCAGCCAGAGCGTGAGAGATGAACTCTGAAACAGCAGGTTGTCATCCTCCCTGGTAAACACAGTGGCTTGCCAGAAACAGAACCCCACAGATTGTTTCTGCTTCATTTCCTGTTACAAGCCTCATTTCCTTGGGGGATATACCCCAGCTTTTATTCCCTTCAGCTATTACCACCCGTCCCTGGGGAGTACCCTCTAAGAAGCTCACCCAAGTTCTTCTGTTACTTCCTCAATAGACCTTAGGCTCCTCCCAGCATGGACTGAGCAGAGGAAAACAGAACCCCAGGCTTCTGGCCCACGCAGCTTGTAGTGTCTCCAGCCTTAAAAGACCTCCAGTGCCTGACTCTGCACTGGAGTAGCAAATAACCACTTGAGATAAATGGATAATAATGAATTCTCCCCTCCTTCACCCTCTTATTACTTGTCCATGCCAAAGAGACAGGCAAAGGAGCTGACTCTTGAAGTCTGGATCAGTAAGCAAAGTAGAGGGAGTGGGTTTGGAAGAGGGTAGGAAGGAGGGCACCCCTTGGGAACTGGGTACCCAGAGGAGAGGGCCATGAGGATTCTAGGCTTTGGGGTCCAGCTTTGTTGACATATTCTTCCTCTCCTTGTCTTTAGAAATCTGTAACTTAGTAACTCTTTGGGCATGACTTGTTAGTCACAGGGGTGGTGTTTCCGAAAAACTTGTCTGGTGTTGGAGGTCTTGATTTCTAAAGCCAGGATGTAGAGACCCTTGGGCTTTCCCCTCAAAGCCCATCTTTTGCAAATAGGTTGTAGTTGAAATAGGTCACAGCCGCTGAGGAGCAGGAGACTTTCCCAGTGGTATCTCTGGGATGTTTCAGTGTTTTTGCCTCGAGCGTCCTAGACCTTCTTCACCTTGCTGTTTCCTCTAGAGTGCTAACACTCTCCTACCTTGCCTTCCTCCTCTCCTGGAGTTTCAGAACAACAGGAATCATCATGATTGCCTTCATGTATTCATGGGTGTTCATGATTCTTCCCTCCCTCACCCCAGGTCCAAATATAGCCTAGTAACTCTGTGTTTTGCTTTTTTATTTAACTCATGTTTGGATTGTACTCCAGTTTGCAGGTGTTTTTGTTCTCTCCCCTGGACACTCAGGTGTCTAGGCCTGATTCCTTAGGTCCACTAAGGTGCAGGGGACTGGGCACCTGGCTCTGGTGAAGTCCAGGGTCCTGCTGACCAGGCCTGGGCCCTTCCCCAGCTTCCTTTCACACTTGCTTCTTCTAGACCTGTCCCGGAACCGGTTCCCCGAGGTGCCTGAGGCTGCGTGCCAGCTGGTGTCCCTGGAGGGCCTGAGCCTTTACCACAACTGCCTGAGATGCCTGAACCCAGCCTTGGGGAATCTCACAGCCCTCACCTACCTCAACCTCAGGTAGCGAAGGCAAGGTCAGGGACAGAGGGGATCTTGTTCTCAACTACAGGCACCCCAAAGTGATTCTCACTGTGACCTTGAGAGGAGGGCAGAGTTGGGACCCTGGGGCTGGAGAGCGAGTCGTCTACTTTTCTCTCTCCTACAGCCGAAACCAGCTGTCATCACTGCCCCCCTACATCTGCCAGCTGCCCCTGCGGGTGCTCATTGTCAGCAACAACAAGCTGGGAGCCCTGCCTCCTGACATTGGGGCCTTGGGAAGTCTACGGCAGCTGGTGAGGATTGAGAACAAGGACTCAGGGAGGGACTGTTGAGCTGGTCACCAGGGATCTTTTAGGGAAAGATGGGAGTGTAGGCTGGGCATTAGGGAAACACTTAAAGGCAGATGAGCAGAAATGGGAGGGCGGAAGCTAGTGCTTCTGGTCTTATACCTCCTTCCTTCCTTCCTCATCTCAGGATGTGAGCAGCAATGAATTGCAGTCTCTCCCATCAGAATTATGTAGTCTGCCTGCCTTGCGGGATCTCAATGTTCGGAGGAACCAGCTCAGCCTCCTGCCTGATGGTGAGGGAAATGAAGAATAAACAGGGTGTGTGTGTGTGTGTGTGTGTGTGTACACACACATATATATATACACACATGTGCATGTGGCTGTTTGGAAAAGTCACAGTCAAGGAATCTTCAGTGAAGAATCATGCCCTTTTTGTATGATTTTGTATTTGCAGAGTTTTGTGATTTAGAAAACAAACGAAATTATTTTATCTTCACTGGCAACCTTCTGAAATAGACAAGATGTGAATTATTAGCTTTTTTTTTAATAAGAAAGATGGTGGAGATGAGCACAGAAAGGGGAGTGTGTAAATGCACCTGCATCACTGTAATCTTTGTGTTGGAAGGGGCCTTTAAAGGTCATCTCTGGTCACCACTCCCCCCCCTGGTAGGACTTTGAAATCTCAAGAGAGTCAGGTGACCAGGCCTCCTTCCCAGAGATTCTGAATCCTTGGGAGCCTCACTAGAGCCCAAGCTGCCCTATTTTAATAAGCCAATTGTGAGACACATCAACATTTGATAGCCCCTGCACCAAAACAAGTATACCTTCCCTTCTTTTATTTAGCCAGCATTTATTGATTTCTGTTGGTTGTTGTGGTAGTGGTGGTGTGTTGTTTTTTTGTTGTTGTTGTTAGTGTTTTCTGTGTTTTAGGAGGGGACCAGGTAGATGTGGGAAATTGTGTCCAAGATCTGGTAACTCTTAAGGATTTCATGAGGGATAGTGAGAAACATTCCTAGACCAGAGAAGAAAGTGCTAGAGTGTGAGACTTGAGTCCTGCGAGCCAGAGGAGAGGCAGCAGCACTCAGCAAGGCTTGGTCAGCTTAGAAGATGTCACCAGGGAAACAGAGGAGTTGACCTTTGAAGGCGCATTCCGTTGGGCTGCGTCTTCTGCAAGGAAGCAATATGGACAAAGCCTGGAGTTGGGAGGGAGCATGGTCCAGCATTGATGGGATTAGACAGGCAAGCCAGGCCAAGGGCAGGAAGGGCCGGCTGCTGGAGAGTATAGATTTAATTTTTTAGAAGTGAGGAACCGAATGGTCCTCCATTTCATCTGGGGCCCTCACCCTCACTTTCTGCATTTGCTATCTTTCAAGTCATTAGGAGTACAAATAAGCATTTAATTAGAACTCTCTCTCTCTCTCTGGGCTACAAACGAGAACAAAGCAAAATGCCCTAGAGACTCAGAGAGGAACAAGGAATTCCCACTTGCAGTATCTAGAAAGGTTCATGGAGAAGGCAATACTTGCCTCCTGAGAGACTTAAGAATTTGTCTGATGTGGTAGAAGGGCAGCAGTGAGGTGGGGAAGGGCTGAGCAGATCCTGAAGGCCTCGGCTGCACTGGAGTGGGAGCTATGCTTTTTATTCTGTTATCTTGTGCTCCCACTGGTCCAGGCTGCGCCACAGGAGATTATGAGAAGGTGCCACTTCTAATAGCAGGCATAGCTTCCCTCTGGTGAAGGCCTGTATGTTCACTGCCTCTGGACCGGCCGCTCTGTGCACCACACCACCTCAGCAGCCTGTCTGCAGGCCAGAGGCAGCATTTGAGCAGCAGGGGGCCACAGTTTGGTTTTTGTCTTGTGATGATCACTTGAAGGATGAGTTAAAATGCTGAGTGGCCAGGCGAGGAGACAAGGAGGGGCAGTTGTTGCTGGGGAGTGATGTGAGCCAGTCAGGGAAGAAGCTGTGCTGGACCCAGGTGAGCAAGAGCAGGGGGACTGGCCAGCCGGAGCCTCGGGTGGAGAAGCTGAGCACGGAACCCATCTTGGGGACGCTCCTGACTCTTCCCTCACCCACCCCCAGAGCTGGGGGACCTCCCTCTGGTCCGTCTGGATTTCTCCTGTAACCGTGTCTCCCGAATCCCGGTCTCCTTCTGCCATCTCAGGCACCTGCAGGTCATTCTGCTGGACAGTAACCCCCTACAAAGCCCCCCTGCCCAGGTGAGAAGCGGGCTGGGTGCACCGTGGTGGTCATGTGGAGGAGGAGCTGTCCCTCTCCCTGCTTAACCCCCCTCCGTGTGTTTCCTTACACCAGATCTGCCTGAAAGGGAAGCTTCACATCTTCAAGTACTTGTCAACAGAGGCTGGGCGACGTGGGGCGTCGGCACTGGGGGACTTGGGCCCATCTCGCCCTTCCAGTTTCAGCCCCTGGTAAGTCCCAGATGGGAAGGAAGGAGTACCCTGGACACTTGACGCCCCTTCCTGGTGCCAGGGACCCCCGATTTGGGTAGGAGACCAGATGCAGGGGTGGATGCTGTTCAGTGTAGGGCTGACCAGCTCTCCCTCCTGACCCCAGCCCAGCCGAGGACTTATTTCCAGGACGTCGGTATGATGGTGGGCTGGACTCTGGTTTTCACAGTGTTGACAGCGGCAGCAAGAGGTGGTCAGGAAATGAGGTGAGGGCGTCCTTTCTAAGGGAGTTTGGGAGGGAGGGTGTCTCAGCCCTATGAGAAGACTTCTGAGTCTAGAACCCTTTGCCGGGCCCCCTGAATTTTAGTGGTGGCTGGAGCCGTCCTCTTCCTTCCCTTCCCTAAGCGTTCTGTGCAGTAGCTCACAAGGCCCTGAATCCCTAGGGTCCCACCTTGTACAGGGGATCATCTCCCATCTTTCTATCTCTGCCTGTACAGTCAACAGATGAATTTTCGGAGTTGTCCTTCCGGATCTCAGAGCTGTCTCGGGAGCCTCGGGGGCCCAGGGAACGGAAGGAGGAAGGTCTTGGTGAGTGATAGACTCGGGCCAGGGAGCCTGGGGTGGGAGTGACAGTAAGAACCATCTGCTTGTTAGTATGTCCCTCACCTCTAGCCGATGGAGACCCTGAACAGATTGACTTCATCGACAGCCACGTGCCTGGGGAGGATGGAGACAGAGGTGCTGCGGAGGTGAGGATCTAGCCGTGTCCCTCTCCAGCCAGGGGACAGGACAGCTGGAGAGAGACAGGGGAGGTCTGGGGAGAAGACACTCCTTTGACTCCTTCACTGTTGTTTCTCCAGGAGCAGCGGCCACCAGAATTGAGCCCCGTGGCAGAGGATGGCGAGAGGGCACCAAGCAGCAGGTACCCCAGTGTTGGGCCTTCCTGCCACCTTGCCACACCCCTCTTTCTTTCCCAGACTCCTCCAGTTCTCCTCTGTGACTTCTGTGAACCTCCGTTTGCCCTTCAGGCGGGAGGAACCAGCAGGGGAGGAACGGAGGCGCCCAGATACCTTGCAGCTGTGGCAGGAGCGTGAGCGGCGCCAGCAGGAGCAGCAGCAGCAGCAGCAAAGTGGGGTGTGGGGGGCTTCCAGGAGAGACAGGTACAGTCCTGCACCAGGATGGGGCTGTGTAGGATAGTGGGGCCTGATGAGCTGGACATGGAAGTGAGCAAGCGCCCCTTCCTGGGCCTCCTGGGGTGGCTCCCGCCTGTGGCCCGTCTGTCCCTTGGAGTCTGCGTGGACCTTCTTCCTGGCCCAGCTGACTCTACATCTCTTGATTTCTTTCTAGTTTTCTGAAGGTGGGGCTCAGGACTGCTGGGGGAGGTGCCGCTGCCCCGTCTACTCAGGTCCCTTCTAAGTATGTCTCCTCCCACCACCTCTGTGAGTCCTCCCATGCAGCCTCCTCTGACCGCTCCTCCTAATTCTCTGTCTTTCCTCAGCAGCATGCCCAAGTCCACTGCTATACAAGTGGGGGCTTTAGAGGGTCGAGGAGCTCCTGCCCCTGTCCCTGTCCCCACCTCCCAAGAGCCTCTTCCTTTGGCTGGATCAGGTAGGAGAGGGACTTTGGGTAGAGGATGTGGACACATGTTGCGGGACTGGTTGGGACCTGGCTGCTGGTGGTTGGAGTGGGACACTGCAGGAATGTCTCTCACCTGTTCTTGTCCCTGGGCTCTGGCTCCAGATCCAGCACCTGCTCCCCGGCCACTCAGCTCCATTCAGAGACCAAACAGCTTCCTCTTCCGCTCGTCCTCACAAGGCAGCTCAGGTGGGTCCCCCTTTTTTCCCCCACCAAGACCTGTTGCTATCCTGAAACTACTACAAGTGTTAAGCCTTGGGCTCTGTTACTCCTTGTGGCGTGGCACCTCTTGTCCATTCGTGTTGAAAGTCCTGTAGGCAGAGAGGAGGAGATGTGTCAGACCACAAGGACCTGACTCTGAAGTGGACGCTGAGCAGTGGAGACAACATATCCTCTCGTTTTCTCTCTTAGGCCCTTCCTCACCAGACTCTCAGCTGAGACCGCGGCAGTCCCCCCAGGTGCAGGATGAGAAGGAGTTAACGTCTCAACTGCGCCAGGTAAGGGAGAGGGCTCAGTTGGGGCAGGGGCGTGGGCTCAGCCTGGCACCTCCTCATGTTCCTCGACCTTGGAACTCAGGCCTCCCTTAACCCTTTCCCCACCCTGGTACCTCCCCTAAGGATGGGGTGCAGCAATCCTGAGGTCTCTGCTGACCATGGTGCCCTTTCCCTCCCTGCCTCTCAGGCCCTTGAGTCCCGGCTGCAGAGGCCCCTGCCCGAGGACCTGGCAGAAGCACTGTCCAATGGGGTCATCCTGTGTCAACTGGCCAACCAGCTCCGGCCCCGCTCTGTGCCCTTCATTCATGTGCCCTCACCTGCTGTGGTCAGTTGAGGCCCAGAGGAGGAAACAGAGGTTGGGACAGGAATCTCCGGTGGCCCCCCCTCTGACCTGCTTCTTGTCTTCTCTTACCCATCTGTAGCCAAAACTCAGTCCCCTCAAGTGTCGGAAGAATGTGGAGAGTTTCTTAGAAGCCTGTAGGAAAATGGGTGTGCCTGAGGTATGGGGAGTGTGTTCTCAGAAGCCTAGGGCTGGTCTCCATGCCAAGAATGGGGAGCACTCTGCATGGGGGCCGGTGTTCTGTTCACAGGTGGTGTCTGCCCCCCCCCCAGGAGCACGACCTCAGTCCGCCCTGCCCTGCATGCCCCCTCCTTGCATGCCTGCATGTTGACTTGGCCCTGGCATGAGAGGGCAGGGGGTGGGCAGGACTGTCTTGCTGCTGCTGCTGCTGCTGACATGTCTTTTGTCCTTGTCCATCTGTCCTCCCCTCCCCTCCCAGGCTGACCTGTGCTCGCCCTCGGATCTCCTCCAGGGCACCGCCCAGGGCCTACGGACCACACTGGAGGCTGTTCAGCGGGTGGGGGGCAGGGCCCCTCCACCCCTCTCGCCCCCCTCTGGTCTGGGCGGCTTCGTCCTCTTCTACCTGGCCTTCGTGCTGCTGCTCTATGTCGTCTACACTCGGCTCCTGGGCTCCTAGGATCTGAAGTCACTCCTCCCTGCCCTGTGTCCTGTTTCTATTTATAAGATGCCCTTCAAACCCCACCACCACCAGTGGTGCCTTCAGCCCCTGCCAAAGACACTAGCGTGCCCCCCTCCATGAACACTGACCTCAGAGGCCCCACTCTGGTGCCCCCAGACCCTGGGCCCCCCGCCTCTGGCCGTCCTCCTGTAGACCCTCTCTGTGCCCCCACCCTCCTAACTTGGATGGTGCCTTTTTGCCTCTCTGCCCCTTTACCTGTCCCCTTGAGAGGTGGCAAGAGATCCTGTCTTCCCCCCCCTCCTCTGGGGACTAAATTATCTATATTTTGTAGAGAGAACTCTATATTTGTAGGGGTGCAGGGACCCCAGCTGGGCCCCTGTCTGCGTGTATAAACTGTACAGACGTGACTGCCTTTGTGTGTGTGTCTGTTTGCGTCTGCTCCTGCTGTGGGCCCCCTGGGCCGGCTCCCACCTCCTTTCTTTATGGAAATGACAGGCCCTTCAGCTAGGCCTTGGCCCCCTGTGTCATCTCTCTGCTGACAGCTTCCTTGCTTCTCATGTGTCCCCAAGCAATGAGCCTGCAGTGTCCGCCAGGACAACCCTGTCCCTTGCCTCCTGGTCCCTAAACAACATCCCCTCAGTTGGCTCCCCTTAGGCTCCGTTAGGGACTTTCTGACACCTTGCCCTGCCAAGGGGAGAGAATCTGCTGAGGAAGGGGGGACACGAGGTGAGAGGACTTAATTTGGGCCCCTTCCCCCAGGAGTCCCTGTGCCAGCCCCACCACATCCTGGAAGAGGAGGGGGTCCCAGGAAGGGGCCTCCCCTACATCGCTGCTGTCCTCCATGCTCTGCTGGAACGGCCTTAGGGACTGACCTAGAGCACAGGGCCCCTCATGTGCTGGGCCTGGGACCCCACAAAGAGAAGATGGACAGTGTCCAGTGCTGCTCCTACTGACAAGGACTGGGCTCCAGGCTCTGGCCCTGTCCCTTGAGCGCCCCTTGGAAGTTCAGGCAGCCCAAGGGGAGGGAGGGGCTTTACCGCTGCCTCCTGGCGGAGGGTCTGGAGTGCAAGACAGGCACCAGGTGTGTCTGTCAAGAATAAAGGAAGTCGAAGACCTTCGATGTTGACTTCAGGTGTGTGTGTGCGCGTGCATGAAAAGGGTACAGCAACCCGGCAGTGGGCCCCCGTAGATGCGTGGCCTCCCTTGGGGTGCATGCTCAGCTTTTTCCCTTCTCGGAGCCTCGTGCGCTGCTGTGGCCGCCATGGGGTGGGGGCCGCACTCGGCCGTGTCCCCCATTGGGGTCTCCATTGACTGTGCGCTCCGGCCGGCCTGCAATCCCCCACCGCCAGAGGGCGCCGTGTGGCCGGAGCGCAGTCACGTGGCCGGAAGTCAGCCTGGGGGCAGGGTCTCCCCGAAGCCACCAAAGCGGCGGGGTGTTACTGGGGGCTAGACCCCACCAGACCACCAAGGCTGCGAGCCAGAGCCCAGCACGGGCCCTGTCCTCCCTCTATGAAACGCTGCACGCCGCCCCAGCGGTCCGCTCGGCCACGAGCCCAGGGAAAGAAGGCGGTGTTGGAGGAATGTGGTCTCTCGGTGGGCACCGACCAGGGCGAAAACAGGGGCTCTGGGGACAAGGCCTCCGGGGAACCAGGAACGGCCCCCCAGGACAGGTGAGGGGCCTAGCCAGAGGTGGTGGTGGGGACATAGATGGGGTGAGGGCTGGCTGGGGTGGGGACGTGGATGAAGTGAGGGCTGAGTGGGGAGATAGATGGGGTGAGGGCGGGTGGGGAAGGGGCTCTGTGCCTGTGCCCTGCGCGAACTGATCCCATCATCTGTACCAAGGATGGAGCCAAGGGGAGGGGGTGAGGGTAGGAACTGCCACCCTCACACCAGGCAACCTTGGATCCTCCCACTGGGTTCAAGGACATAGCCAGAACTAGAAGGGACAGTGCGTGGGGCATCTTTGTGGCATTGTCTCCTCCAATCCTACCTCCCCAGCCCTCAGCTCCCATCCGCAGCACGTTCCAGGACCTCAAGGAAGCAACTGCCACCTGGCAAACCCCGAGGCGGGACTACCAAGCATCCCCCAAGAACCCAGGCTACCAGGCAGCCCCCCAGAACCCAGACTACCAAGCAACCCCCAAGAACCCTGGTTACCAAGCAGCCCCCAAGAACCTTAGCCACCAAACAGCCCCCAAGAACCCAGGCTATCAAGCAACCCCCAAGAACCCGGATTATTAAGCAACCCTCAGGAACCCTGGTCACCAAGCAACCCCCAAGAACCTGGGTCACCAAGCAGCCTTCAACCTGGGTTACCAAGCAACCCCTAAGAACCAGGGTCACCAAGCAACCCTCAAGAACCCTGGTTACTAAGCAACCCCCAAGAACCCTGGCTACCAGGCAGCCCCCAGAAAGCCTGGTTACTAACCAGCCCCCAATAACCCCAGGTAGGTCCAGGGCCTTCCCTTAAAATATCCTCCAAGGCCCCTTCATTGACTCCTGAGCCTGGTTTAATCTCTTCAGTTTCCCTCCCCAGCTCCTTCTCCCCCCCAGATGACCCAGAGACTGGCCCCCTCATGGATGGTCAATCTACAACCCTGGGACCCCTACTATGAGGCAAGACCTCAGCTGACGGTAAGTGGGAGGTGCCTTGTGCCCTGGATCTAGGTGGAGGCAGGGATTTTTTGGGAAGAGTTGAAGTTTGAGTGATCTTTTCTGCCTGTCTGGAGGGGGCCGGCAGTGGGGTAGGCTCCTTCTCAAACCGGACCTTGAGTCATCCATCCTTTTGGCCACTGTATGAGGCAGCCTCCAGGAGAGAACTCGGAGAGCAGGCACCCAGGGATGCAGGTACTTTCTTGATTGCCACAGCGGGCAGGTGGGCTTAACTAGGCCCTCCATAGAGTCTGGCCTCTGGTGCTACCCTGTCGTATCCTCTTCTTAGGTATCCCGGTGTTGAACTGTGAAGAGGTCTTTGTCTCAGACCCTCTGCTGCCCTGTGGATACCGTGTCCCTCTGTACCTGGACAGGACACCCCAGCAGGTAAATCTTGCTCCAGCCTCACCCCAACCTTTGGGTAGGACCAAAGTGGTGAAACTGCCTGCTCTTTTCTCTGTAGGTGATGAATCCCTTGAAGCTGCTGCTCCCACCTCCTATCATGTCTTCTTGTGTTGCCCCCACATCTTCCTCTGCCTGCTCCACCAACTGGCTCAGTGAGCTTGAGATGGTTGCTCTCAAAGCCCTTCTGCAGATGAGCCAGGAGGGGCCCACATGCAGCCCCTCATCGGACTCCATGCTCCAGGCCAACTGCCTAGATTTTGTCTCTAGTAACCCAGCCTCTCATGGTGGTCCCAGATATTCTCACTTCCCAGACCCACTTCTCCCACAGACACCAGACACTGATTCTCCATAGTCACTATGAGGCAAAGAATGTCCCCCAGTTCTGTCCTGTAGGTTCTGTTGACAATAAAGCTGTGTTGGCTTGCAAAGGGGCTCCCTGTGTCTGATGGTAGAATGAGGCATGGAGGTAGGACCAAGATTTCTTCCTCCACCATGGCATTAACTCACCTTCTCCAAACCTTGGTTGCTCAGTGATCATCTCCTATAGTGGGACAGGGCAAGCCTTGAGATTGAACTCTTCCCAGGCTGACCAAGCAAGAGGCTTATAATGGGAGTGATAAGGTCCATCGTCTAGTCCACCAGGTTGAGAGTTTAGAAAGCAGTGACTCTTGTCTGCTCTCCCAGACCAAAGAGACAAGAGTTTGTGGGCCGAGGGCAGGCAAACTAAGGAATAAGAGGATAGCACATCTCTTGGGAAAGAACCTATTCAAATCTGTTTGCTGAGCACATAAGCTCAGGTGGAGGGGCAGCAAAGGAGAAGAAGACCTCAACCAGGTGGATTGACACCGTGACTGCTGCAAGGGTTTCTTGTGTGTGGATGGCACAGGACAGAACAGGATTTAGATCTTTTGTTTGTAGGGTCGCTATGGGTTGTGCTCAACTCGACGGCACCTAACACAACAATAATATGGGGGAAAAAAGTGGCACCAGGATTGAGGGAAGACTGTGATAGGCAGATGAAATAGCTTTGCTTGCTGAAAATGAAGAGCACTTGAAGCACTTACTGAAGAAGACAAAAGACTACAGAGCTTTCAATATGGGTTACATCTCAATATCAAAGAAAAAAAAGTCTCATAGTTGCACTAATAAACAACATCATGGTAGATGGGGAAGAGATTGAAGGTGTTGAGGATTTCATTTGATTTGGGTCCACAGTCAGTACCTGATGGAAACAGTCAAGAAGTCAAATGGTAGATTGCATTGGGCAGATCTGCTGCCAAGATACCTTTGATATTCATTGTGGGTCCAAGGAAAATGAAACTGTTGACCACTTCAGCCTTTTCTGCATCTTAAAGGTGCCAACAATTTGACTTTACTCGGATCCACATCAATACTCATGCTAACAATAGTCAAATCAAAAGGCATATTTCATTGGATAAATTTGTGTCAAGATCTCTTTAAAGTGCTAAAAGAGCAAAGAATGTCAGCTTAAGGACTTAAGATGTGCATGATCCAATCCATGGCCTTTTCAGCTGCTTTATATGCTTGTGAATGTTGGATAATATCGAGGACCAAAGTACCGATGCCATTGAATTGTGATGACCGGAAACACTGAATATTCCACAAACTGACGAAAGAACAGCTATATCTTGGAAGAGTACAGAGTGCACCTTAGAAGTGAGAATTTGAGGAGCTCTGGTGGCCTAGTGGCAAGAAGCTTCACTGTAATCCCAGAGGTATGTGGTTCAAATCCATTAGATGCTCTGCTGGAGAAGGAGGGACAATATCCTCCTGTACTTGTCAGACCTGATTTGACGGTACACACACAAAAAAATAAAATTAAAAAAAATTTTTTTTAAACAAAAGTGAGAATTTGCCATTCCAGAGAAGGCTGCCATAATTAAGAGATTCACCTCAGTAGCATATGGCCTTCCCTCCAAATCTATCATTACTATTTTACCCTCAAAAAAAGAATTTTTGAGATTTCATCTCACATTGACATGTTATCAGGAGTGGCCAGTCTCTAGAGTGGCACATCATGGTTGGGAGAGTAGAGGGTCACCAAAAGAGAAGACCACCCACAAGAGGACAGATTGACACAGTGACTGGAAAAATAGGCTAAAAGTGCAACAGAATGTGATAGAGTCACACGGTGAGTAGTGGCACTGTTGTGTGCAAAGTGGATTTGAGTCAGAATCTAGGTACAGTCAACTACAAGGCCTAGGGATCCTGTGAACAGTGGATCTGTCTCTGCTATACTTGAGCCTGTTGTTATGGGCATTGAATAACAACAGTAGTAGTTTAGCCTGGGACTCTGGGAGGGCCTCTTTGGCTTTGAGAAGATATAACAAAGGCACTGCAGATATGTGTGAGGAGGGGCCTCGTAGGGGAGGTCTGTACAGTGGCAAGGAGGGGACCAAGGCCAACCTGAAGCCTAGAAATGGTGTTAGAATTGTGCAGGGAGACAGGATCAGGGCTTCCAATGAGTGAGCCCAGAGGCTTAGCCCAAGGATGGGGAGATGGGAAGTGCAGTTGTAAACCACACTCTAGTTTGGTGGGTGGTGGGAGGGGGCTAAAGGATTAGGAAAGATCCAGTGGGGATCTGAAAAGATGGGGTAATAGTGGGCATAGATCAGTAGTGATGAAAGGAACACAATGTGAAAGAAAACAAAACTGACTAGTAACGGCCTGAAGGTTTCCCAGGTGCCATGACTAGGAAGCAGCTACGTGTTACAGGGTTCAGAGCCCCTCCACCAAGCGGGTGATGGTCTGGGGAGGAGTGGATGGAGAAGCCACAGTTACTGGTAACTTCAGGCATTTCCCACCCTTTCCTTGATGAGACCTCCTTGGCTAAGGTAGAGACAGCAGGCTGGACAGGGCGGTTGGGCTTACTGACACCCTCCAGAGCTGCTGGAGCTCAGGATACCCTTTTCACCTCTGGACCCCCATGAGTTCGTAGTCAATTTAGGGGGTATGTAGTCTCCTAGGGAGTGTGGGCCTATTGGCCCCACTGGTTAGGGTGAGAGGGTAACTTGCCCCTCTCACCCCGGTATCACTGACGGCTCAAGGTTGCTTGATTGGGCCTCAGAAGCCAAAGTTGGTCTTGTAAAATTGGAGGACAAAGGTATATAGAGAGTGTTCCCTTGGCATTGGGTCAGCACTGCCACAGGCAGCACTGGCCCCCAGTTCCTCTTAGTGGCTATAACAGTCCCATGAATGCGAATGTTTTGTGTCACCACTGTGTCAGGCACCAGCAGCCACAACTCTGTGGGTACTGAATGGCCCAGGTAGAATACAAGTCTGTGTGGCTGTGGCAGCGCAAAGGTGACCTAAGCCTTGGGTTTCCAGAGAAGCTGGAATCTTCTCACCTGGGAACAGGGGCAGGAACCTCTATGTGCCAGCCTTGGCCCCTATGACACAGCACCCGGGGCCACAAGTCTAAAACCAGGGTCTTTGAAAGACAATGGGGTGGTCGAGGAAGGGCCTGAGGCCAGATTTTGGAGTTCCTGTGTTCCAAGGAGTGAAAACGTGAACTCTCAGCATTGGACTTTGATTTTCTGTGAATCCAGGTGAGCGGGCAGGCCGCTGGTAAACCAAATCCACAGACACCCACACCACACACACCCCGACACTCTCGTGGCTACCCCCACACCACCCACCCACACACCCACACACACACAGCCAGTGCTGCGTCCCTGCAGGTTGGCACGTTTTGGTTTCCAGGCTCTCGACCTCTATCAACCAGAGGTTTGCTGCGGCCCTGCTGTCCCATGGGCAGTAGACCCTCTACGTTGGGGCTTTTGGACCCCAGCCCGATGCCTACCCTTCCCTCTCATCCTCAGATGGCTCCCCCCACACCCCAAGGTTGGCCCAGAACGCTGGACTCCATGGGTCTTGGGGGCGGAGTTGAGTTGGAGATCCTAGTAGAGGTGTTCTCCACGGGAGGGTGGGGAACTGAGCTTTGTAGGGGTGGGAAGATGGAGGCGTGTCTACTGCTCTGAGCTATTGCTGGTTGGGTGACAGCAGAAGGGATCAGGAAAGTGGAGGAGGCTTGGAAACCGTGTAAAGTGAATGTTCTTTGTGATTGTGCCACTGGCAACATCTGCAGTCTTGGCATTGGGGATGCTGCGCTCCCAGAAACCACCCCATTTATCCAGTACACTCTTGCAGGCAGCAAGGAGACTAAGTCATCCAAGGGGCCACAACCACTAAGCATTGGGCTCTGCTGATTTCTCAGGAGCTGGAGGCTGTTTCTTCATGGCTTTGGTGGGACTAGAGCGGCATGGGGTGAACAAGTATCTATTGGTCCCTGCACAGACCACACATACCAGAACCCCAGTTAAGTGGCTATTAAAAGAGATCCTATGATGGGAAAGGTCATTTGCCAGGGCCACCTCTTCAGACCACCCATTGCCCTTGACACTCCATTTCCTCTGCCCAAAGTAACACCAGTGGGCAGCTGAAGGCTGTGATCACAGATTAAGCATGAACTCCCTGGTAGATACCCTTTGTCCCTTGCAACTTGATGTCTGAGATAGGGTTAGGGGGCAGGCATTTTGCACCCCAGTTCTGATCCTTCCAAGGAGCAGTGGTACTGCCTAGTATACACTGTAAGACAAACCAGTAGTTGGCACATGGGTGAGTGTGGTTACCAGGATCACGTTGAGGGTGAGATGCAGGGAGCCAACCAGCATCAGGATGGGCACCGGGGCCCAGCAGGCAGGTGGTGCCAGGCCCTTGTCAAGGTGCAGGCATGTGCCACTTGGAGTGTGGTGGGGCTACAGCTGTTACCACCACTAGTGTAGGGGTGTGGCCAGTGAAAGGCAATGATAAGGATTCATAAGTGGCCACCAAAATACCACAGTCCCTAGTGTGGGCTCACAAGAGAGGAGTGCAGGGACATGCAAGACCTCATGCATTTAGGCGTCTCTCTCCTGCCCTGGCCTTGGAGCTGCCTCTAGCAGGCAGGCCAGCCGTAGGCCCAGGACCCGCTGCACTCCTGGTCTGGTGTTTTACTCCCCAGTTTGAGTGGTCTCTCCACACCTAATTCCGTCCTGCTCATCAACTAGTCACCTTGTAGCCAAAGTCCTTGTAAAACCATAGCTGAGTTGAAAAGCACTCAGACCATCTTCAACTCCTAGGTGCTGGTTAAAACACACAGCAGCCTGGCTCTGGGAAAGGTAAACAAGAATCAGAGTGGGCTGGGAACTGCTGCCAGGTGATCTAGCCTGCTGGGTACCAGGGAAAGACTGGAGTCAAACAACTGGCCTTATCAGTTGCCCTAGCAACACAGCCCCGGGCCTACACAGGCTACATTTATCTTAGCCTGTTGCCCTGGTAACTGGAGTTGTTTCCCTAGGGGGCAGGAAATGGCAGAACCTCAGCTCAGTGAGAACACCTCTCTTGTTTTGAGGGGTGTTTTCATCTGTCAGGTGCAGGGAAGTCATGGGATGGGCTCCCCACATTCTGAGTCCTGGAAGAAAACCCTTGGTACATGGAGGTGTACTGTTCCAGTGGGCCTCACCCCTGGACCCTGAGTTCTCCACTGCAGTGGGAGGTATGAGGACAGAGCTACACCTTTGGCTTTGCCACCCTCCCTCTCTGCCCTCTTCTAGCCCCCATTTCCTGCTCTGACCTGACAGGCCCCAACATGCCCACAATGGAGCTGTTCACAGAGGATCTGGGGGCTGGTCCCGTGCTGCTTTATCCACAGGGCAGCCTGTACGTGACAGTGGGACCAAGCCAGACTGCAGAGCAGTCACAGCACTGGCCAGAGGGACACCTGGGGGTTGGTCAGGTGCCCAGCAGGGCCGGTGTGTCACTGGAACCCTGTAGTGTGAGCTGCAGAGAGCTGACTTGAAACTGCCAGGTGCACAGGTGCCCTGGAGGGAGGGTGGGAGGAACACAGCATAATCATGTAGACAGTTTCTATCAAGCCTGGGCTTTATCCATTCTTTGCTACTTTCTGGAGAAAGAAGGCTGAGGGAGGGCTGGGGTCTGAGAGGCTGTGGTTGTTCACGGCAAGGAGGGCGGCTGCAGTCCTAGTTTCGCGCCATGTCCAAGAAAGTGTTAATTTTCTGCCCTAGGACTGAAGCTTACCTAGCTAAAGTGCTGCCTGGTCATCCAGCCCTGGACAGTGAGCTGGCTGGCTGGAGTCTATAAAAGAGTGATTTTGAAGAGGGAGGGACAATGGTAGGGAGGTCCCAGGTCCCAGAACCAAGAAAGAAATCCCTGAGAAACAGTTTGTATGCCAATGAAGGCTCTTCAGCTCCTACTTTTTTAAATCTCAGCCCTAAACCTCAGTCTTTTCTGAGTTAGAAAGGGGGGGGGGAGTTTAGGGACAACTAAGAAAAGGCTCCTGGTATACCATGATTTCACCTTCCCTTGCCTCCCTGGCTTTAGGCAGATAGGATGAGGAAAAACAGATAGATGAGAGAAAGAACTAAAAATGAAAACTCCAGGGAATGAGGAATGGTGGGCCAAGCTGAGAGGTCTCCCCAGGAGATGGAAGGAGTGGCAGGTGAGATCAGGTCGCACAGACATGGCAAGTACTGTTCCTTGAAAAAGGTGGGCAGGCCAAGCCTGGCTAGGCAAATGGCTACAGCTGGAGGTATTTCCCAGAGAATTCTCAAATAAAAGTGGTAAGCAGTCGCCACATCTCCTTTCTGTTAAGGTCATTAGCTGGAAAGACCCAGAAATCCCACGAATGGGTAGGTTCCTGGCAATAGTGGACAGAGGAGAAACCTCTCCTAGGCGCCCCTTCAGCCACATGCGGTATTTACACCCAAGCAGTTCATCTTGTCACTATACAAACAGCCCAGATACCATGGCTGTTGACAAAACATTTCTCAGGCAGAAACCGTTTTGGGGGATGAGGGGTGTTGAGACCACCACATGACCTGGCAGTGGGCTTCCCTGACCAGGCTAAGTGCTGCACACTCACATCCACACGAGCACCTTCTACCTCCAGTGGGAACTGCCCCTTCACTCTATCTCCTAACTCCCACCTGCTGCAGATTTAGCCCCTCTCCTGTCCAGACAAGGCCTGGTTGTGTCCGGGACGGTGAGGCTTGTCCTTGGCAAAGGCAGGTCTATCATCAACTCTGGCAGGTAAGACCAGGGGAGCCAAGGCCAGGCTGTCATGTTACCTGTCACGCACCCCCCTCAAGCTGGCCCAAAGCAAGACTCCAGAGGCAATTTCTTTTTCTTTCAAATGCAGTTCTTTTCCAACATTGCCTGCAATGAGCTTTGGTGCTGAGATTTGGGGGTGGGAGAGGCACATGGAAAAAAGAAAAGGGAAAACAAACAGTAACCCCAGCTGATTACACAAAGCCTTTCCCTGGACAAGTCCAGGCTCTGGGGTGATCAGGACCCGTAGCTGCCTTCCCCCTCACCCCCTGGAGCTCAGGCTTGGCTGGTCCTCGGTCCTCGAGGCACAGATGAGGATTAATCCCATTCCCTGTGGGAAAGAGCCATTTGGGAGACAGGGAATGGCTGTGTGGATGCGTGTGTATAATAGGCTATATTAGAAAATTCTCTCTATATAAATATAAAACACTGGTATCCAAACATGACACCAACAGCTAACTAAAGTGCTTAACAGGAGTCGGGCATATATATGTATGTGTGTGTGTACATAAAACTATTCTGACTGCCCAGGAGGGAGGGGCACAAGGAAAGCAGAAAACCCAGCGCCTCCTGCAGGAACAGGCTTTGCCAGCCAAGGCCAGGCAGCAAGGGCACTCAGATCCCGGGGCTTCTCTCCTCTGCGACCACCACACCACATGGAGGCCTGTCCTCATTTCTGCCTTTACCTTGCTTTCTCTTCTGTGTTTCTGCTGATGAGAGAACAGTGCTGGAAAGCTGGGGTGGGTGGAGGGCTGTTCTCATAGGTGAATGCTGGTCAAGAGAGGAGCTGGTGGTTATACACACAGCTGTTTCTGACCGCAGCGTTAGGGTGAGGCAAGTGCTTTTATGCTGAGGGCAGAAGATTACTGTCGTCATAATTAACAATTAGAAAACATAAACACCATTACTCCTCTGGTGCAGGCCTTGCCTTCACTCCTTGTGGGCCTGCCTGAATGGGGCTGGAGGAGGGGAAGAGAGAGCCTGCGGGACAGCTGCCAGGAAGCCGCTGTTTTACCTGTAAGCCCCAAGCAAAGCACTAGCACCTCCATCATCCCAAGACCCCCACTATGCAAAACAAGGCCCGAGCTGGGCTCAGGCCCACAGCAATGTAACAGGCAAACGGTCACTGAGGCTCTGGGGAGTAGAGGGGCCCAGAGAGCAAGGGAAAGGCCCCTTACTCCAGAACACAGTGCTACAAGAATGGGTTGGTAGTTGGAGGTTTAGAGGCAAATGGGCTTGAAGACGATCCAGTCTGTAAAGAAATAAAAAAACACACAGAACCACCTGAATTACATGTAGGGAGGAAAAAACATGAAGACATGCAGTTTAGGATTCCTCTTCCCCTCAAAACTACTCTGCTGAGGCAACTGGGAATGGGGGAGGTGTGCGAGGAAGATGAGAGGTAAGCGGAGGGGCTTGGGGATGAGGTGATGATGAGACCAAGACTTGGGAGACAAATTCATGAGGAATTGGTGGAGACTGAGCCCACAAAGCCTGGATGGATTCTGTCCTCAGCCCCCCAACTGAAAGACCGCACCCCACGCCATGAAGCCTCAACCCTGGAGGTGCTCGCTCCTCACCATGAAGGGGTTGGTGGAGATCCCGGCTGGCTGGCCTAGCGGCCTCTGCCCCAGCTTAACTGAGCCCAAGTCCCCGAAGGAAGAGCCTGGGAGACAAGAGCAATAACAGCCAAAATGAACTCGAGCCCGCAGGCTGGCTCTAACTCAACCCCACCTCCCCATGGAGCTCCAGGAAGGGGCCTTCCAAATGGAGCAGAACATCTGTGTTCATTCTAGCACTTTGACAACAGTCAAAAGGTAGAACAACTGGAATGTTCATCAGCTGATGGGATAAACCAAATGTGTTGTCTCTATACAATGGAATGTTCCTCAGCCATAAAGGGAAAGGAAGTCCTGATGCAGGCCACGACTTGGCTGCACCTTGAAAACCTCATGTTGAGCCAAGTAAGTCAGTAACAAAAGGACAAATGTTGTATAATCTCACTTAAAAGATATGAGATAACAGAAACCCAAAATTAGCATTTACCAGGGGAGAGAATTTTTCCTGAGGTAGCACTGAGTTTATGTTAATTGTGGTGAAATGATTTAGAAAACAATATTGAAAACGGTTTACTTCTTGAATGACACCAGTATCTGAATGGACATGCAGACATTTTTGAGATGGCTGTCTTATGCACCTTCACCACAATGGAAAAAGAAAGCAGAGCACAGTCAGAGTCCAAAGTGGGCTGCTTTCCCCTGACCACCCCCTACTGGTCAGAAAGGACCAAGGTGACGTCTGGTTCTGATGCCGCTGGGTAGGAACATGGGATAGGAAAGAGCCCTTACCGTTCTGCTGCTGTGTCACTGAGGTCTGCGGGGGAAACAGAGGTTGTGGGAAGGTGCTGGCAAAGCCTCCAGCTGGTGGCACAGACTGGGGAAAGCCAGGCCCAGCACTGCTCATCCCAAAGCCTGGCCCTGTGGAAAGTGGGACACAGGGCTCATGTGGATTTTTGGAAGAGGGACTAGAGAAGTTTTTCTTAGTGCCTCCAAGGTGGGAAAATAGGATTAGCTTTTCCTTCTCAGGGGGAGTACCCTGGATGAGTCAAGAAGCTCTAGTTTCTCATACAAGCAGTGGTACCAATAGGGGGCAACTCCTTATCACTGAGTCACCAGAGCTCCCCGACTCTATGGGAGCGGTCTTTCTCTGACTCTAAACTCCTCATTCTGGCTTGGGTCTGTCTACTTTTGCTCACTAGGAGGCCTGGACATCTAAATGTGTCTGGCCTGGGCTGGTGAAAATATAGACAAGAGAAGGAAACTAGTGCTGGAGGACACCTCCCAGCTGAGATTGCCTGTTGTCCCTCCTGGGAGAGGTGAACAACCTGTCAGCTGGTGGGACCATACCTGTCAGAGCCAGGGACTTTCTTACCTGTGCCCACGCCATTGGGCTGGAAGGGGTTGGTGGAAAGCACTTGGGGATGAGCAGCAGGCGCTGTGAAAGGGTTGGTAAAGCCTGTTCAGAGTGGATCAGGAGACAAATGGGAGAGAGAATTAGTACTCCCCCCCCCCCGGTTTACTTTATATGGTGATACCCAAGTACTCCTCCAAATCTTGGTCTGCACCCCTCTCCATTCCCCCCTTTCAGAGACCCCAGTTTCTTCTTGGCCTTGCATCACTCCCCTTAGTTTCCACTGGCAGGACTCACCTCCAAAGGCAAATCCTGTGCTGCCACTGCCACCAGCTGTGGCAGACTGGAGTGCAGGGACTGGGCCAGCCATCCCAAAGATGCTGCAGGAGGGAGAAGTCAGCATGCGCCTTGTCCATGATCCAGGACACACACTGAGCAACGGACCAACAGACAGTAACTCTATCCCCACTCTCAAGGGTCAGACCCTTGAGGTGAGCAAGGGAGAAGTAAGCATTGTGACAGGAGGGGAGCAGGCTACAAAATCATAGTCAAGTTTGCTCAGCAGGTTCTTCTGGTCCAAAGCAATGCTCCAAGGTCTGCACTTACCTGTTAGGGATACCTCCAGCTGACACCCCTGGTCCCAGGATGCTGCCCATATCTGTGAGACTCTTAGGCTGACTGGCAGGTGCAAGAGAAGAGACACCGAATGGGGTCACCTGGCTGCTCCCTGGACAATCACAGGAAACAGAATAGGTTGTGCTGAGGGTGAGACAGGATGCAATCAGCAGACGAGATGGAGGTGAGGGTGCTTGTGGAAGAGTGGAGTGATCGTAGCAGAGGCACCCACTGTGTTTCCCTGAGCCAGCTTTTTTTTTTAAATGTGGGCCCCCACATCAAAGTATGACTGAACAACATGGACCAAGAGTCCTGGAAAATCTAAACAATTCATCTCAAAGGAAGAGATCTGAGTTCATCTTTAATATCTTTATCCTTCCTTAGAAAGTTGAAAATTGAAATACCATTTGATTTAGCAATCCCATTATTAGATTTATAATCTAAAGATATATCCTAAATAAAAGCTGCAACACACACAGAAAGATGCACATTCATGTTCACTGGAGCAAAGAGACAAACAACCTAAGTGTTCAATATACAAATCGATAAAGAAACTATGGTACATTCACAATGGGGAACTAAGCAACACTGAAAACCCACAAAGAATTCATGAAATACCGCAAAACATAGATGAATCTAGAGGATATTACGCTGATTGAAATCAGTCAGTCATGAAAGAACAAATATTGTAGAAGACCACTATTATAAAAAGGACAAATATTAACCACTATTATAAAAAGCTAAAGAAAAAGTTTACACACAGGTAGACTCACTTTTGAATGGTTACCAGAGAGAGAAAAGGAGGGAGACAGGAGTCAAAGTCAGTAAGCAGGTCACAGACACTATTAATATGATAAAGGGAAAGGCAATACACAACAAGGGGATGATCAGTACACGACCACTAAAGAAAGAGAAAACAATTACAGAAGGATTATTAGAAATTGGGATTTCAGGGAGTCAAGTGGGGGGAAAGTGATTACATTGTGGGTACTGAAATTAATGTTCAAGAACAAAATATGTATGAATGGTTAAATGAAAAATTTATTTGCAAACTTTGATGGAAACCACTAAAAAAGTAGACAAAAAGAATTTTTTTTTAAAAAAGAAAGTATCTTTATCAGTGTGTCAAAGCCCCATCTGTGCGGGACCATTCTGTACTACCGTGAAGGCGAATGAAGCTATAAATGGGAAAAAGGCTTTCTTTGGATGGGTGTTGGGAGACTAAAGTGAAACTCTGTAAAGTATCTTCACGTGCTCAACAAGTTTGCTGAGTGAAGATCTGAGTGCACGTATGAGAACGGATCTGGCTGTGGCTCCCCTACTTGCTGCCACTGTGATGTTGGCACATTCTCTCATGGTTGTCACTGAT